GCCCCCGGCATAGTGATTTCCAACTCTTGTGCGGGCTCTGTGAGTTACACGATTCTGTTGTGTGTATGTATCATAACTATACAGCCGTGTCTTCGTCGACGTCTCTGCTGTAACCTTTCGAATGGAAAGTGAAAGTCCACACAATAATCTCTTGTAACATTTAAGTTAGCAGCGACAGCTGCAGCAGTCTCCGGGCTCTTCTAAATGCGGGACGTCCATAAAAAAATAATATGGCTTAAACGCGCAATTATCAATTGCCACATAATAACAACAAGTAATAGAAAATTACAATAACCTACATACAAGTATTTGTGTGCGGGTGGCGGAGTGGCCACAGTGTCGTCGCGCTTTAGGTGTGTCGTTATAGAAATCACATAAAAATCAATCGATAAGAACAAAAAAAAAACCCATTAAAACGTTTAACGGGTGACCCCTACACGGTATGTTTGTCGACATACCGATGTGAATAATAGATAATGAACAAATAAAAATTACTTTCGGTTTGGTATTCACTACCGGGTATAGTAAAATTGCCGTTAAACGGATAGTGTCCTAAACGACCGGCGGCCAATGGTTGTGTGCTACACGTGCCGTCGTATAATATATGCACTATGCACGCGCGCATCATCACCCGTTTTAAGCGTTCAAATAATATGTTTGTTTTTTTTTTTTTAGAAATGTTCACCAAGTCGTACAAGACAAACGGTGTAACGGGAGAGTGGGGATTTTATTTAGTGCGTGACTTCGCACGCCGAGACCTTGTCTTAATTTTACACAAACCGACCTTCCGGTGGTTTTTTTGCCAAAACGTTTCGGTGACATCATCGTGTCGATATTGGTGTTGCTTGAATTTGGCAAAACCCGACTGTGGCGGTGCACGGCACTGTGTGTTAATTACACGCATTCATTATTCAAACGCAAATTGGATTTTGCCACCGGTGGAGACCGCGTTTCGTCTATTTTCGAGTAATCGCCTTGGAATAGGTTGGCCGAGTTCTAAGACGCCGCAACCTTTATTCTTCCCTCTCCCGTCAATAGCAATCACAATAATTATTGTCGTTCGCCAAGAAAACAATCGGTGGGCGCGCCCAAAATTTAAACGATTTCGAGACGGCAATTATATATATATATATATATATATATGTGTTTTTTTTTTAAAAATAATTCGAGTATTGTCATAAGCGAGCTTCGCGGCCGGCCAAAACGGTCAAGTCTTTTGTAGGCCAATTATTACCGTGGTCGCCATACGCTGCGTATACAGCGCGCACAAAATGTGGCAATAATCACACATTACACGACGTACGCGCGCGATCTTGGGCCTTCGTCTTTTACGCCTTTTTTTTTTTTTTTCTTCATCCCAGTTAGATATTACATATTATTATTGACATGACGTGTGTGGATGAGCAGCGTGGAGATGCTGTATAACCGGCTTTAGAATGCGTCGTTTAGTAATTCGATGTGTGGGGCGGGCGGATGGCGGTGTGGCGGATGCGAGAGGAAATACTACATTGCGCGGTATGTGCGCCTTGCACGCCGCCAAATTGTCGTTGATCAAAATGGACGACAACCGCGATGAGTAAGGATAGATAGATAGAGAGAGAGAGAGGGGAGGGCACCAAAAGGGTATACGGCGAACTAGGTCTTTCTGTTTGTGTGCGCCGCGCGAAGCTTCACCGCTGGAATCGGGTCGACCTGACCCAGTTTCGCCGGCCGGCAAACAGCCGCTGTGTGTGTGTGTGTGTTTAGTCAGCCGTATTGTAAGCCGAATGTTTATTATTATGCGCTTGCCTTGGCCTCCCCGACTCGCCCACCGGTTTCAGCCGGGCCCGTAGTATAGTAGTAGCGCAGACGAATAGTAATAATAATTTATTCCGGTCATAGTTATCTCACGATTGTTTGTCTTATGTCCGTTGCATTTTTCTGTACTCTATTCACGCGCCGTTTTGCGTCGTGACATAAGTCGTACAATTTGCTGCGCCGTCGAAACCGACAAACGATATTGACACGTACGCTGGGGAATCGGCCAGAGATTCAGATAATAATAGTATTATTATTACATCGTGTGTTGTTTAGATACAAACGAATATTCATCGTACACATCCGCAAAGTTACTAAACCCTATTTTTTCATATTACTGCGTGCTAGATGGACAGATTCGGTGAATTCTATCCATGCGCATGCATCCGTCTTTCTACGGACAATTTTACCGCGCACTGGGCGAAGGGGCACACGTGCGCTGTGTTTTTCCAGGGACCGTGGAAGTAGGTTACGACGCCGGTGACCCGGTTACACGTTGCGCTTGCCCGTGGGGGAGAGAACGCGCTTTGTTTACGTGCCCAAGTGTGTTCCCCTGTAAAACTGCTGCAGATCGATAGCGTTTATGTATGTTGTGTACTGTGTGTGATGCTATGTGCCGGCGGCGAAGGAGGGGAAGAGGACACCACGACCCGCGATGCAGCTACCATTGTTTTGATGACGGCGCAAACGGCGGGGTGGGGCATGCGACTCCGCGAAAGTTCCGCCGCCGCATCACCGGGTGCGGCGGCGGCGGCGGCGAAGGGAGGGGGCGTGTGCACGCGCTAGTCTAAAACATACGCCGGCACGTGGGCAACGGTCGCCTCTACCCGCATCCGCGCGGATGCCACGGAGCGCGGCGCATCGATCCGGCCGGCCGGCCGGCTTTTGTACGGCGGTCCTCTCTTCTTCCCGTCGTGTACGCGGCCCGTGCCTACTGACCTCGTTTTTACCCGGACCCCGAATTAATAGTGTTCCCGGTTTATATACACACACACACACGAGCGCGCGTGGCGCCCGAATGTTGTTGTATATGAGACCGTATTGTATAGGAATTTTCAAACGTTCATACGACGGACGCGCGTTAACAAGCGGCGCGAGTATGTACGGTATTGTGTGTGTGTGTGTATATATGGAACACAGTACGCCGCGCGGCACGGACACGCCACGATAATGATGGCCTCTGTCGGCTTGACCTATTTATTGGCCGTAACGCGCCACTCCGCTGCTGCACCGGCCTCATTTCAATCGGTAGTAGCCGGTCGGCCTACCTCCCCTGCCCGCGCCGCCGTCACTCACAACCGCGGATCGCGTTACTTCTCCATGACCAAAATAATATTTGCCGGCGTACAGTAACAAAAAAAAAATTCACACAAAACGCTGTTTATTTCCAAAAAAAACATAATTTGCCGTTTTACACAAATTTGTGGTCGCTCGCCGCCGGTACTTGGAATTTTGTTCACCATAACGCCGGCTATGTTGTACACCGATACAGCTGTTATCACAGAACAACCGTGTGCGATCAGCTGATCGTTTTTTCTATAGCATCAACTCTGTACAACACGGATTGTCGGTGCACCTTTATTCGACAGCCGATGAATTATATATCTGCATCGCGTTTAATTTCGCCGTCCTTGGATACACACGCCGTCTTAATCACAATTATTGCAATTACTACTAGGTACCCACCCAACTGTTATTGCGCTATTGTTTGGTTTAGTCATGCAGCGCGTGTGCGATTCGATGCACATTTTATATATTTTCTTGGACGCGTGCATCGATAGATTATTATTATTACTGTATAACACATATTATTATTGTGTTTTTAAAATGTAATATTACATAAACGACACTGTCCTGTCACACGTGTATGACCGGCGCACCAATGTACCGGGCCGTTATGTACCGCCATTTTGTGTATTTTATACTTAGAGGGCGTGCTCTAATATACAGCTTAGGGTCTGGTTAGTAGGTGACCCGGTAAAAACGCTTACCCTATATTATCATCATTCGTACACGGCGACCGAGGCCGGAGAGAGCTTTACCCTACATTTGCTGGTTGACCTTTTTTATTTTATTTTATAATATGATATTGGCACTGAACATATTATATATTTCTACTTGGGCCTAGAAGAAAATTTAATGATAATCATTTTTTTCCTCGCGTTTGATTCGCGTCCAAGTCCCCCCCCCAATCGGATTCGGAACACTTATGTTATGCGACCGTTTTTGTTTCTGTTTATTTTTGCGTTCAATGCCGACTATATGCAATGTCAATAATATGTTTGCGCGGTGTATTGTTTTCTATAGATGTCACAAAAAATATAAACATAAGTTTTAACGTAACTCGAGTTGTATGTTTTACCGCAACCGCGGGTTGTTATTAAAACAAAAATTGATCGTGTACGGATCGAGTCGTTACGGTGATGCATTTCCGATTGACCTCGACTCGTTTCAAAAAAAAAAAAAATCGTTAATCGTCCGGACAAAAAATAATAATATTTTCACATGCCTCCTCTTTTGCTGTAGAATTTCTATTAACAGTAGAAATCCGGTAATATACAATGTAAACGCTATTATTATTGCCTACTTGTATTTGGAAAATGCACGCGTATGTACCTGAAGGCATTTGTGCAATTAAGGCACAGTTATAATAATAAGATATTATTATATTTGCTGACAAATCTCGTCTTGAATCGCGTGTACCTAATTATAACGCGTTGTGGTGTATTGACCGACAGATTTCTGTGGAAAAATAATTTTATGATATATTACATTAAATTTACATTAAATACTCTACACTGGTAGTTGAGGGGTCAGATTTTGTGTTATTACGCGCGTGTGTTAGACACATAAAATAACAATATAATAAACAACAATGATGCAATCGTTAACGGGTTTAAGTGTACCTTTCTCGAAGCGTTTTTCTCGTTCGGTATAATACACACGAACCGATAACAATGTTATAGTTATTAATTATTGACTTTTGTTTCGTTTTAAACGGTTTATTGTCCGTGTCGGCCTTCCGTTATATTATTATGCTTGTGCGCTATTATGCCGCTGTTGACTCAATCGATTTTGTTCGGACCGAAATATGATGATGAAGTTTATATATACATTGACTTTGAAATATTGACACATATTATTATTATTACTATGATACTGACTGCAGGATTTTATTGATTTTTATTATTTGATGTTTTCAGACGGATTGCCGGTGCGTATTTCAGTGCACATGGCCGGGGTGCGTTACCATCACGACCACCGTTGCTTCCATAGAAGCCCACGTCCGGCAAAATCACTTGGGGTAAGTTTTTCGGGTTAAAGCCAGTTGAAGTTTGTGTTCGTAACGACCGCCATAAAGCTTATATATATATATAAAGACCACACCGCCTTGGCAGCACTGTGTATAGCCTCTAGACAAATGGACGGACATGCTGTTTGTTGTTACAAGATACAAAATCTCGGTATTATAGTGAACCTACAAAAATCGCACGAGTGTGGGCTTCTGAATGGGGGGGGGGGGTGCTATACCAAACAAATCGTATACTCAACCCCTGTACCTAACTTAATATCTATGACCACGTAATAAACTCTGAAATGTCGAACCCCGGGGGCTTTTTGACATATTTGGCACCAATTTAGTCGTTTCTATGAACATCCCTTACGGCAGTGACTCGGGCGGTGATAAAACGACGTTGTGTTACTACTATAATGTGGTAAAGCGTTGCATAACTAATTGGGTTTTTTCTTTTATCGCTTTACACAGGCCTAGACGTGAAAAATCACCTTTGGACGACTCCACTAATGATTCGATAGACGATCACGAGGAAGAGTTTTATTACACAGAAGTGGAACTAGGAGCGGCTTCGTCGCCGCCCACGTTGTCTCACCGGGACATGGCTCGTCCGCCGCACGAAGGTAATAATAAAAACGGCACACTGTGTGTTTCGATTATTATTATTATTTATTATTATTGTTCGACATTGACTTTCCGAGCCGGCTGATTTTAAATGTCGTGTTAAACTTGCTCGTGTTGTTTCAGATCCGGAATATCAAAAGACGCTGATAATACCTCGGTCGGGCGCCGGTCCAATGAACATCCCCAGCACGTCGGCCAATTGGCCGTTCACATCCTTCAACGGACAGGTATACTACTTATATATCGTACAGCTTTAAAAAAACCAAAAACTAACCCGGATTCTCGCCAACTCTTGATAGTTCCAACTCTTGTTTTGTCCCCTCGCGCGTGTCCCCTCCTCCTCGCTCTCCGGTGTACAGCGTTGACCGCGCCATTCTTCTAATGCACCGTCGCTAACTGTGTGTGTATTTTTTTTTTTTTTTTTCTGGAAAAACAGAAGCAGATAAAGATGATGTACCAGAATCTGGGCGGACCCAGGTTCCCGAGTAGCCCCATGCGCAAAGTCCGGGGCGAGACGAAAAAGTGCCGCAAAGTGTACGGCATGGAACACCGGGAAATGTGGTGCACCCAATGCAAATGGAAAAAAGCGTGCACCCGATTTGTGGGCACCATGGAGAACATGGCGCCACTGGCGTAGAACTTACGCTTTTTGCCAATCACACTACGCTAACTGCCAAATTAAACATTTTTTTTTTTTTTTCCTTTTTATAATTTTTTTTTTTTGTCTTTCTAAACGCGTCACACTTCGGCGTTTAATTTTTATCTATTTGAATTTTTTTTTCTCAAAGTTTGTACTCCAATTTTTACGTATGGACAAATTTTGATTTTTTTTTTGTTAATATTATTATACACAAGCGTATAAAAATAAATTTATATATATATACATATATAATATAAATTTTATATTATAACTATATTATTCGGATGTATATAATAGATTTTAAGTAAGTTTTTATCGATTATTATATATATATAGAGTATATATATATATATATATATTATACTTACAACGTAATTTTTTTTTTTTGTAATTAATAGATTCTAAAGCCTTAGTACTTGGAAACAGTTCCTCAGGACGACATATTATTGTTATTAATTTGGCCGGTCAATATATATATTTTATTTTCCGACTTTTTGTGCGGTTTAAATAATTTTTAATTGAAAAAAAAAAAACGGACACAACGCCATATTTATAAAATTAACGAAGTATTAGTAATTCTAATAAGAAAAAAAAGTAATAATTCCTAAATAAAAGCAATAATATTTTTATTGAAAAAAAGTATCGACGTCCTAGCGTAGAGAACTGTGATAATTTAAAATAAAAACGCCCTCGCATCATTTTGTCTTACCCGATGAGTTGTTTAAACTACTTCATAAGATGTGTATAAGTATATTTTCTTAATCATTGTGTAAAAAAAAAAAAAAAAAAAATGGGGAGAAGGGAGTTGTTTTTTAGTTATTTTTTTTACAGTTGACTGAATTTAAAAATAGAGAAGTTTTTTTTAATTAATCCAGTTCTGAACTAGGGCGTTAATATTATGAATTATATATTATACTGTAATAATTATTAAACTACTTGATATTTTATACGTTATTAAAAGCGCACATTATACATTTTTTTAATCAATTAGTCCAGCAATTATTATTATATATTATCGAGAACAAGCATTCATTTTTAGCTCTGAAATTTGCTTCTTTAATAGAGCCCGTTGTTTCCCAAAATGTAATCATTATAATACAATAATGTATTACATACTTGGTTGTATTACTTTTTATTTATTTATTGTTTAAATAATGTTATTTTATTGTAAGTAGTTACCATTAACTCTTTTGAGTTTGTATTTACTATTTTTATTTTATTGTATATTATGATTTTTTTTTTTCTTTTTGGATATTTATTATGCATGTAAAAATGTGACGTTTACTTCTTAAATTCTTAAGAAAAATATTAACCATGGGTAAAAATCAAATAGTTCAAAATTTATACAGCGAATTAATATACAAATAAAAATCATTGTAATTGTATAATAATGTTCCAAAATATATAGTTTTTAATAATAATAATAATAATTCTTTTAGACATTGAATTTGTATTTATCGGAGTATCCTAATAATCCATACGTCACATCTAATTATTACTTTGTTTTGTGTAATATTATTATTTAATTGCTCTCTAAGATGACAATCTTATTCCCTAATTTACATATCTTCCAAAATTATAATTTCATTATATTTTTTTTTTTCAAAATCTCGTTAAAAAAAAAAAAATTGGAACAATAGTAATGGTAAATAAAGAAAAGTCTTTGTTGTTCAAAATTTAATAATTTAGATGTGTTCAAACAAAAATTGATAGACTTTTTTTTTAATATAAAATATATATATATATATATACACATTTTTTTTGATCTCGAAGTATATATAAATATATATATATAATATGTAATTCTAATTTTTTTTTTTTTTTTTTATGAGAGCATTATTTGGATTCAAATCTTTTTACAAAAGCCAAAGTTTAAGGGAAATTTCGTTTGTGATCGATCTCATTATTAAATATAACATTAATTTTAGGGCGGGTGCTTAAACGATTTAAGTATTTTGCGTTTAACATTTAGATTAGAATGCAATGCAACTCGAGTTTAATCTCTAAAACAAATTTTAATAATAATAAAAAATAAAAAATTATAAGCAATTAACTAAAGAGTGTCCTTGGATCTGGATAAATGTTTAATAATCATATGTAGTATGTATTAATATTCTATATTTTTGAATTATGAATTATTTTTATTATATATATTCTATTCTAGAGATTTTATTGATAAATATATTATATTGTATAACAGTAGAATTTGAACTTTTAAATGTTTTATGTCATAAATATTGTTAATATTAAGTACTTTAATTCTTATATTCAAAAGTATTTACTAACGATGGTATACAAGAATACATTATTCGTCATGGAAAAGAAAATTATTTATTACGCTGGCTGTGTATAATTGTTACTCTAAAATCGTTACGAATACTTACCGTTTTGTCTGCTACTTTTTATTAATTTTTATTATCGATATCATCATAAAGCAAAATATTATTCTAAGATAACCCATAACATTTTTGACAAAATTGTATTTTTTTATATTATAGCTTAAAAAATTCTTATGTAAGTTAAAATATTTCTTTGTAAATCGAATCTTCATAAAAAATATAATCTTGCCTAGTTTTTACTTCGGTAAAGTTAATTGATATTTTAATCAACCATGATTTTTAGAGTGTTTTTATAATAGTTTTATCTTATTTTTAATAATAATAATAATTTATTATATAGTTATTTGACGTGATGATAAACAAAACAGCAATTTATTGTAGTAGTAATAATAACAATAATTTTTGTCAGTAGTAAGTACTCTACGACGCTAATTAGGTGTAACTAACTAAGTAGCGATATTGTGAAATGTTAAAAAATTATTGATGTTTATTATTTATGTTATACAAAAAAAAAAAAAAAAAAAGGAACATGTATTTTCTCTTTTTAAAACTATAATATTTGCTAAATGATTTTATTTTTAAAAAAATGTAAATAAATAATATACGAGCAAGTATAAAAAAAAATGTCGTTTCGTTATATATATATATATAGTTTTCCTTCTAATCATCACTAGCTATCTTATAGGGCAACATAATATGATTCTATACTGTTTTTGACCAACAGAAAACCGTATCTTGTTATGTGTTGACCAATAAAACTGCAATATTGTTTTAATATGGACGTGTAGTGGTGGTCGAGCTCTTAAATTGAAATTATCATTTTACGTGTAATAATTTTAATAGGTTATTGATAATTTCAATTTAAAATCGACCATTATAGATTGTGTGTAAACGTTAAATAATCTATGTTCAGTATAATACGTTGGATTCTGTTTACGATAATGGTTACTGGTCTACCGTTTGTAAAAAACGCCCCTTTGAATAATAATAATTCCATTGGCATGATGTTGTTCAACTCGGCATATGAATGTAAATTATGTACATTATGTCAGTATTACTGCAACTGAGGTTTGTGCAATGAAAAATGAAAATTATGCGTGCACGTGGAATTCGAACACAGCCGGTGTGGCTATATGGTAATTCGACTTGTGTGATAATAATTGTTGTTCAACAGGAAAATGCACATGTAAGGCACATACATGGTGGACGGCACGTGAGGTAATCCGTCTAAAAGCGCAGTCAATTGCTGCGTGCAATTTAATAAACGATGATATTGTTGTGAAAGAAAAAAAGCTATATGATTGAATAAATTAATCGAAAGATAAAATAGAAAAATGATAATATTATACAATTGACGCATTTAAATATCACAAGTGCACCGCTTGTGCATATCTTGAATGCAGTCGATTTCACGGAAATCTAGCCCAAGTACGTTTGTGTTTTTATTAGCCAATCCGGTTGTGTTAAACGGTTAATTTGAAAACTCAATGTATTAACATAATGTAATAAGTGTTATGTTATCTGTAGGTTTTTTTTTTTTGCTATTTAGGTTCTACACTTATAACTCGCAAAAGTATTATAATATTTTAAACAATAATCAATATATTAATGTATTATAATTGTATGGTAATTGGCTTAGATAATAATATGCCTGTGCGATGAACGGCCAACGATTGAATGTACATTCTATTCTATGGATATTATATGTAAATTAGTTGCGTGCATATAATTATAGAATTATTAAGCCATTGAATACGATTTAAAAACAAGTACATACCTATATAAGCCAAAATATAATTCCAAATTTGTATTTTTTGTTGTTTACTTAGTTGCAAGCATGAAAAATACATTAGGTACATTTTTTAGGCTTACAAATAAATATTTAAATCAAATATTTGAAATGGCTAAAGCTTAGGTGTAACCCTTAACTTGGCAAGGGCTAATTTTGAAATGTCTAAGATAATTAAAATAATAGGTACTACTATTTAGGTAGCCATGGTAAGTTATGTGTAGTAAATATATGTATCTTCAAAGATACAATGCCAAGTTAAGGGTAGGTTGCTCTAACATTTTTTCATTTAAATCTCGAGACGGGAGTAAAAACTAGTTTAGTCACAAAAATATATTTGCAAGGCCGTCATGGGGTCTAGGACACTTAAGATTCGGACCCCGAGTAGGAAAAAAAGTCCTCCCCTTCTTTAAATAGATTGTTAGTGAACGTTCTACCAAACTTAACAACTATAATACATATTCTGATCTTTAAAATAAAGAAGCGAAGATTGATGATGACGTTTTTGAGCCAGAACTGAGCTTGTAAGAAAAAAGGCTGCGCAACAAAATTTTATATCGTTTCAAAAGTCGTATCGTTGCACTGTTGTAATATCGCGTATAACATGTTTTTAATTGATTTTTTTTTTACAAGTTCAAAATCAATTACGCTATCAAAATTTCAAATAAATGTTGACCCTGCTCAACCTAACGAGTTACGACGGCGCTGACCTCGAGAATTGAGGAAATTAAAAAACACATAATTAAGCATAATATTTTTTTATTAATTACCTAACTAATATAATGTTAGTATAAACGACCATTTATCTATAGATCTATGTTTGGTAGTGGCAGAAAGTAGTTTATATTGCAACTAAATTTGGCCAGACGTTTACTCCATACAATCTATACAGCTTAATATATTACTACCTGTCGGTCTGTTTTTCTACAATAACTGGAGACTATAGACAAATTCGACTTAAGCACAGTAATTTTGGAAAACTTACACACGGGTCATCGATAACCAACCAAATGTAAAACTTAAAAATTCGTGGCAACATCTAAGTTCTAAGGGTTTTTCTCAGTTTTTCAATCCTTCTAATGGCCAACAGACTGGAGCCAATTAAACACACAAACCACGAAATCAATACATGCAAACAGTTTGTTCTTTATTGTGTTTCTAAGTTCTGACTTATTTATAAACGACCACCTCATGAGAAGCAGCCATAGTTCATCGAATTATGATTAAAATTACAACGGTTACAAAAAATTCGACACCAGTGCGAACATAAATAATAGTCATTAATGAGCTTAGGGTTATATTCTGTTTAGTGAAAAGCTGGCAGTTTGACAATATATTTGTATTGGTTTATGTTTGTTATTAGATGTCATAATAATCTATGCCATAACACTAGTTTGCGTTGAAAACAATTATTCATTTACAAACACATTAATTGTAGAATCCAATAGCTATGTATTTATTTTATGATCAAACGGCTAGAAAAATAATGAATATCACATGTCAACAGAATACAAATTTTGATTGATTCATATTGATTCCAAACAAAACAAATTTCATCATTGTAATATGCAACATTTTTTAAGAGTTCAGCAAAATAAAATTTAATAACAGGCATCAACTAGAATAAATTATTGGAATACCTAATAAATTATAACACAAATTTATTTAAATAAAATTTTTTTTAAACAATTCAAATTTAATAAAATAATAACCTGATGTTTTTTTCTTAGGGCGATTTATTTTACAAATACAACTTAAGTATGCCCAACATAAAGCATTGAAATTTTTTAATTTTCAAATAACATTAATTGAACATAATTATTATTTCTCTGTATAGTTTATTTAACAATCATGTCAATACTATGTATGGATCATATCCATAAGTATAGTACAACAACTCTAAACAACACAATTATTGTATCATAAGGAAAATAAAATATACACCATATGTTGATTGGAACAATATAATATATTTATAAATATTATTTAGGTTAGTAAAAATACTTTTTGATCATACAAACTATCGACAGTCAATAAAAATGTTGTACTGATAAAACTGTACTATTTGTCAATATTTTTTTTTTTCAAATATAATTTGATAAAGATTTTATTAATATAGTATTACAAAATACATTTTATTTTATTTTAAGTAGTTACAGGTTATATAATTATTAACATATATAATTAACTTATTATTTAATTTTGTTCGCTATAAAATTAGGAAATAATACTAATAATACTAAAAGTAATTATAATAGAAAATATAGACTATTTTATTTAGTAGTTAACTAATTATAAATAAAAATAATAAATAGGTTATTACTGAATGTAATAAACTAATTAAAAAATAAATGTTTGTTCGATATGATTTAATGCAATAAAAATTATATTGTTTGCACGTTACATAAGTAGGTATAAAAAAGAATGTAAAAATCACAAGTTGTACAATAATAATAAAAATACCAATAATACATATTTCCAATAGCTTAATTTGTTGTTCGTAGATTATTAATAGACACTTAAGCTATAGATTAAAAACTGACCAATGTAGTCCAGTTTAAAATTATATTTGTTCGAAACAATCACATAATAAAATTTTTCGTTACATAATTAAAATAATAAAAAAATTACAGAGGTTAAAAAAGCAATGGCGATTTTCAAATGTTAATAATTATTAATTGTGTTATTACTATTTTAGCAAAACGACAAATGTGGTTATGAAAATAGAATGTTGTTTAATCTTAGGTTGATTATTTTTTTTTCAATTCAAGTTGCTTGATTCTAGCAGCTTTAACCGATCGTGGCGATTCTAAATAACGTCGTTTTGTGCTGAAATTGATAATTAATATTTACAAAATTGTAAATTACAAATTACAATAGAATATATTTAACAAAATCAATTACCTAGAACCGAAAATTCGTGTGTTCTTTGTAACTGGAGTACGTATTGGCTGTAATGGACGGGAAGGCGTGCGTTTCACTGGCGTGTTTTGCACACGCAGCGGAACTAAATTGTTCAAAAAGTTTGACCAATAATCGGGAGATAATTTAAGCATTTCTTCGACGACCTAATTAAACATACACACACGTCACATAATAAGTGTGATTATAATTACGAGAAAAAAAAATCAATTTGATACAGACTTTATTGCTCAATTCGCAATCGAAATACATATTTTCGGATCCCTCGCTTGAATAACCGACAATGGTCGGACCAAACATTCGAGCTAAATTAGTGATTGGCATTTTGCAGTCTGGAGACGCTGCGACCCTAAGTAAAAATCATATACAATATTAATAATATTATTTAATGTGTTTAAGTTTATAAATAATTAGTTTCATACTTTTGTAAATGCAACATCAGGTATGCAAGCGTGTTGCGGTTAGGTTGAGGCAGTTGCGATATAGCCTGGTACAACCTGTGTTCGTTTTCGTCTTTTGAATTTCTAACCGCGTCTGTGAATGTTTTCCAATCGTAATGAGGAATCAGCGGATCATCCAGAGTTCTCAGGAAGTCTTTCAGACAACCACAAATGACGTGTACATCAATGTCGGATAAGTTGGGTACTCCTTTGCGGAATTTTTCTTTTAACGCTTTGACATCTTTTTCCGAGCCCGGTACTCGGTATAAGCCAACAGTATCGAAACCGCGTTGTTCAATTTCGTTCACACAGTGTATCACTAATGCAGGTACCATCGGACGACCGTTTACCATCGGTGAATAATCCGCAATGCGACCCTAAAACGACAGTTTTGTTTTCAAATAATACCAAACTCCAAAGGATTGATAAAAATGAATTATAAAATATATAATAATACTACTTACGCCGTTCTTATTTGGAGTATTCCTTACAGGAATACAAGGCAAAGGCACTTTGTCTTTGTGTTCCAAATGAGCAGTAGCCTTACAGTCCAAACATTTCACTACGATTTTATTGAATTTGACTCTAAACCATATTAAAAAATAAATGTTATCTTGGGTATTTATTAGCTTTGATACGGAGCTGAGAAAGTATAGATTTTGTAATGATGTGTTTTTATTTTCTATATTTGTGTTAAGACAAACAAATTTTTTTTATTACCACTAGGCCGATTTTTTCATGTAGCGAGTTTATAGTATTTTTTTAAGGCTAAAAACAAACATAAAGGAAAGAAAAAAGGTCACCTTTACCCCATCAAAATAAAAAAAAAAACTTCTTAATTTATCAATCAAAATGTTCAGTAGATTATTTTCGATTGAAAGTGAATGACATAAAAATGTTACTATTTCTTTTATTTTTCAGTGTTGTCCACTTTTTTTTTTTTTTTTATAGAAAAAACCCAAAAATATCAACACGTTTAATGTCTTAAGACAATTTATGTTTATATTTACTAGTTTTTACTATCTATAGTTTTGTATCAAAGTGTTTCTTTAAAAGTGATTTTATCAATTTCAATTATTATTCTTGAAGACCTGTGATGGCTTATATTTTATATAAAATAACAATTTACTTTTTTCCACAAGGTCCACAGATTTCTGGAATGATAATATTTTTCTGAGTAAAATTGTGGGCTCTTTTGTTTAACTTATTCAATGCTGAACTCGAATGAATTGTGTTGGGGGCATTCTGATTATTTTCATCACTACACGCTTCTGAATCAAACGAATCTAGCGAATCTAATAAAAATATTAATGTCAATTAGTAATGTTTATTTAGATTGAACAACAATAAGACTATGTGTAACATACCAGATATCGGCGGTGCACTCGGAGTTGGAAAATGGTTAAGTGGTTTAGATTCAATGACGGATTTTGCACTGATGTTTCCTCCCATATGGCCATGTTCCAAAGTGACAGTTGTAGTAGCTATGATTTGACCTGGAGTCGAAGTTATCGTCTACGGACAGAACAAACAATTATTAATATTTAAACATGAATTCTAAAAAATAAAACATTACTTCAATTTCTTTTCTCGTTTCATAAGTAGGATTTTGATTTGACACACGTTTTCGTTTGACAGTACCGACTAATTCTTGTTCCCGGCGCTTGAGGGCTTCTTCGAAGTTCTTTTCAGAGTCCAAACTGTCTTCTGATCTCGAATAACTGATGTCTGACAATATAGACTCTATAACACAATCAATTGAACAACGTAAAATAAATTACCTAGTTCACAAAATAGAAAAGAATAATATAGAAACAATTTGTCACCTGTGGTATCGTGTCTTGGCATTTGTTCAAAACGTATTTTATCGTAGTCCAACATTGGTGATCCCGACGGGTTATTACCAGGATTTATTTTGTTAAACGCCTTGTAATAATCACTAAGCTGCCTTGCCTAAAATTTCAACTATGTCATTAACCTTGTTTTTTGGATGTGATTTTCAAAAAACAAAATTACCATCGTGTCTCTTTCAAATTCGACATGCCTCTTTTCTTTATTTGCTTCATCTAGTAATTTACTTGAAGTTTTCAATTTGTGCATCAATCTATCGCATTCGATTCGCATATCGTTGAGTTTTTTTTTCATAATATCCTGATCGTCGCCATTATCTTTTAGTTGTTTGCTAAATGCATCCAATGCCAAAATTTTCTCTCTATAGTCTAAACAAAATAATAAATTGTTGTACAAAATCTGCGTACTTTTGGTCGAAAACAACTAATTCTAATTTTAATTGTACTTTGAAACGCTTAATACGACAATAGTTTTAAAAAACGATAAAAATTGTTTAATACTTGCTTGGTGTATCAATCAAAGTACATTTATAATTTTTGGTTTCTATACAAATGTAAACATTATTGAAAAACTTAAAAATTGAAATATTTCACACATGAATTACTGTTTGACTAAAAATAATTTAAAAATTGTGCCTAGATGATACCTTGTAAATGTAATGAAGAATCCAAATGTTTTTTTTAAAACTTAAAATTCATTATATGAGTTGAAAAAAATAAATTAAAGATCAAAATTGATACATTCTTCCTGGGTTAATATACATGTTTACAAATTTCAGCTTAATGTTAAGTTTAAATAAAAAATTGCCTATACAATGTGCTTTAATAAACATTATTGTAGAGTCATTAGGTCCATTAAATGAAAAAACTAGTTAAAATTATACGTATATAATATAATATTAAATTTTAGAAAAAAAAAAATTATGTATTTTTTAGTTACGAATAAAAATGCAACTGTTCGAATTAAATTTTAACGTTTAATATTTAATGCAGAGATAATTTTGAAATCACTGACCTTTTTCCACAGAAGTATCCAGTAACAGTGCTAACACATGTCGTACAAACTCATCGTATTTTACAACTAGAGATAGCCGTTCCATCTTGTTATTTCGAGTGGAATCAAGTATTATACTGTAAAAATAACAATTGTTCAAAGTTACTATATCTTTACACGTGATATCGTGTTTGTTACAATGTATAAATAATAAAAAAAACGGTAACAGAATCTTAGTGTTTAAAGTAGATTCGCTATCTTTCGTGAGTCTCGATTTATGACTATAAAATAATTATAATTAAAGTATATTGTTTTGTTAACAAGTCACTTAAATAATAATAGATGTTTAAGTTCTGTGGGTTATCTATCGTTAATTCTGTAGTAAATAATAATACCTACACATATTATACAAAAGCCGAGGAGAATATATTAAAAATAAAAATGGTGGGACGGTCGAATTCAATTCTGTAAAGACTAAGGGGTAAAAATAAATTCACTTGTAAAGCAATTGACTACTAAAAAAAACAACAACGAGATAATAAGAGTAACCGGTTACATCAATTAATAGAGAGGGCAATGTCTTAAATGTAATATAAGTAATAAAACAAAACTGTATTATAATATATTCGTAATTTTATAAAACGAAGAAGTAAGATAAAAGTATAGATCAATAGTTCTAAAATTATTGGCTAAACTATATATACTTAAATAATAAGCCAAGCTGGCTAGAGTGGCTGCCTTGATGTTTTTAAGTTTAAAACAATACTTGTAAATCTTGTTTTTTATTGTTACAATTTTAGTTAAATTATTGTAAGGTAAAATATTGTTTACTTAAATATAATTTTCGAATACTCGACGTACTGAAAATTATTCTGAAACCGATTGGTAGGATTTCTCTTAAAACTCATACCAATAATGTATTTCTTGGTTCTCTTTAAAACGCGCTGGATATGCGTGACCGACAGCAGTAAAATATGGCAGGGATGACACAGTTAATGTAGAATAGGATTGAGCATAAATACAAGTATTGAGTTCGGATGGGATCTTTGAAGTTTTTCTATGACCTATAAATGGCTTTTGACGACCAGAGAACACATTTAGAAATTGTTGTATATTGGTTTGTTGTGTATATATACCGATGAATATTATTATAAATCATTCTTTTAAACGATACTGAAGCACTAACAACTTCATGCGGTTATGCAAACGACTAGACCATTTTCTTTATTCTTATTTTGAATGAAGTTTTGAATTTTTACATAAAATATTATGATTATCAATTTTATACCACTCGTTAAATGGTTATCTACGAATTGTAAGGCTGCAACCAAAATTATAGTAATCATAATGCAATAAAAAAACCAAGTATAGAACTTTTGAAACAGCGTACTATTTTATTTTCCACTCGTACAACCATAAAATACTCTGCGATACCTACCGGGTAATTCTTTTAACGCCCCACATCAGTTTTCTTTTAAAATAACTGATATTTTGTAGGTTTTCTGTTTGAAAACATTTTTGTAGTTTCATCAACTTTTGAAACTAAATGGTAACATATATATTTTAATAACTTTTTAAATTAAGAATAAATATATATGTTACCATTTAAGTTTCAAATGTTGATAAAGCTCTAGCAAATACTAAACAAAATGAACATATAAATTACAATTGCAACTATTTTAAGAGTAAACTAGTGTAGGGCGTTAAAAGAATCACCCGGTATATAGCTATACTTCAAAAGACACAGTAGGACGAGGGATTAAGTTTTTTCGCCCTTAATGACGCGTACTAAGCCCATTGCGAAGGTCAAATGATTTAGTTACAAATCGTATCTTCATTGACGATAAGATAGTACAAACGGTAAGGTGAAAATACTAAATAGTTGAGCTCGCTGAACTGATTTTTTTTTTTACTGATTTGTCGTATTTTGATAAATTATTCGAATGAAAAGATATAATAAAAATATTCATAAATAAATGACATACTATTTTCTGCAGAAAGAACCGCACACCGTGTGACACATCCCAGTGCTAGGTACAGGGTAGTACAGGAATATTGTGGTCGATAAAATACTCTTCCATTTATACGTCATGTTTATAGACCAGACTCGAAAAGAATAGCTACTACAATATTACATCACTCCCAGAAACAAAAACAACTGCACGTTGATAATTTGCACGAATGATATCAATGAATTGTTTAGAGTTTGGTGGTTTGGTTTTAATAATTCAGTTGTTGGCTCAACAATTGTGGAAAATAATGAATTATACATCATTTGAGACCTACACGAGAAAGGAAGGTATTTTCGGTGCTTTCTTTTATACAACGAGTTTGTAAACAAAGTACGAATGTCACTCATCAGTAAAACTCAGGTAACAAACAAAATATATTATTAATAATAATTAGGTACAGGCAAGGATCCCACCACAATAATCATAAAATATAAAATCTGGACATGTTCAAAATATATAACTACCGTTTTATTATTTTAAAAGTAAAAAACTCATTCCCAGACGTGTTGTCTTAACATTTTATTCACTAAATTTAAACTTATAGCAAATTTAATTTCTAAATAAAAATGCTGAGGCGTTCGCTTAATAGTAATTATTTATGTTAAACAACATTTTATGAAAACTCTTCCTAAATTTTTTTGCAAGCTTCGATAACATTTTTTTTTCTTGCATTCCTTTAGTGTTTATGACATAAACATTACCATTTATGATATATGATATCTTTCCATTAAAGTACGTAAACATCTATTATTTAATAATATACTGATATAATTTTCTCCAATTTTTCTTAAATTTCGTTTGCATTAACTATAGTAAAAATACCTAATCATTAAATTAAAACTGTTTTATATCTTTTGAGTAAATTGATAAAGTTGTCATTAAAAAAAAAAAAAAAAAGTTTAATGTTGAGCGTAAAACTAATTTGTTTGATCTTGGCTTCTTTCATAAACCATGCGATTTTTTAATGTACAAAAACATAGTCGATTTTCAATGCATACAATTTGCTCAGGACGTGAACACTTAAGTCTCATCCTCGGGTTGACATTTTACCGGGGTAATAAACTGATAATTTTATGTAAACATTTGAAAAAAAGATACATAACATATTTTATTTAAAACATATTTTTGCATTTTTATTGGTCGACAGTGTCTATAAAATATGGCAAAATTGCGCATGCGTGATTTTATTTGCACTCCAGAGGCTCCCGATTTGAATCGATACGTTTTTCATTGTTCCGAAACGTTTCACGGGCACCTAGATCCTTAGATCTTGTTGTACAGCGCACGAGCTCATAACATCATCAACTGACGGAAAACGCCGAAATCAAAACGTTGATATAAGTGTGGAACGGCTTTAAAAAAAAAAAAATGTGAGTAGCATTTAAATACAAATAATTATTCATATTTTTGTGGGTAATGTTTACAATAACGTTCGATAGCCCGTTTTAAGCTAAAAAATAAAATACCGGTAGGTCGGTGTTTGTTTTGTAACAATGGGAAATTTAGACGGATAAGCCTGTAAAAACTAAAGCTAAAAGTTGTAGACAATGCGGTTAATTTTCTGATACGGATACAAGATACGTTGATAAACTACTAAAGAATTCTAAAGTACAAATTATAATTATAATTTTGTTAACAAAATGTATTTTTCAAACATTTATACACTTACTAATTAGTATAATTTTAAGTATAGTTACTTAACGTATAATAAGCAATTAGTAATGTTATATTAGTAAAATAATATACGTTAATTATGCGGTAACTAATGATATTTGTACAATAACAATTTTTATTGATACATTATTTTGTGTCAAAGTGCGCCTTTGACAATAGTTGTTGCGCTTACCTAATATCCTATATAATTATATACCTAAGTATATAATTTAAGCTAATACATTTTGAAGTATCATATTATTATACTATAATTAAGGACAATGTTTTTAGATTTTAGATAAAAAAGTAGTACTACATTCTTTTAAATTTGGTAAAAATAAAACATTCAATAATTCCGGAAAATGTTGAAGAAAAAAAACGTGATCCCTAATTCTTGTACCGTACGAATATATGTATTTGTGATAGCGTTTTCAACGCCTAACCAAATTTGGGTTTGGAATACTTTTCATTTACTTTCGGGGAGGGCACTGAATAATTCTCAACAAGTGTTTAGATCTGTTGTACGAGATTTGTATCTTGTATTAACTGTTTATAAGCAAATCGATAAATAACGTACAACAATAATCATAAAATTCAAAATATTAAAAATGTTTTGAATTTTATTTTTGTTAGAATAGTAATCGCTTAATTTTAACACATGGATAAACACAATGTTAATCTAATAATCAAACGGTTTCTACCAATACATCATTCACTTTGAGAAACGTTGCTACTTTTTATTTTATCAAAGTTAAAAATCGAGTTTAATTGTACATGTTCACACTGTCTAGTATGTAGAACTATTAAGCACTGATAAAATAAATTGTATACTTATTAATGTGTAAAATGCTTAATGTTATAGTTAAGAAACTCCGTTGTACAGAATAATGTCGTAGGCAGTACTTGAATATTGTCAAAGAATATTATGTTTTAATTAAGGTGTTTCTTTATCGTCTGGAAAGCAGGAAACGCATATTAAAATGTATAACGTTTGTATAATACAGACAGGTCCTTAACGTGTTGGCAACGTACACCCGGATTAGGGTACATGGTTTAAATTACCACAAATAAATTGTCTTTATTAAAAAACTTACAATAGAGCTTGGCGCGTGAATAATTTTATTTGTGCGATTCGATGAAAACCAAAAGAAAGACACCAAAACCAAAGACAAATAATTACTAAGAGATTAAACAGGAAATTATGTTATAGTTAATTGCTTGTACAGCGAATAATATTAAGGTTATTTATTGTTAGAATATCGTCCTTGGAAAATATTAAACAGGGAACAACAATAATTCCTGATCTCATATAATAGACTTGCCTTTGCACGATTTTAGTTTTAGCAAAATTTCAACAAAACCGGGGCCGATTGAATCACGACTAATAAGTTACAAAAAATAAACACTTTGTGGCGTTTCTTTCAAATGAAATCAAAGGTATCAAAACTTCCTGTAATCACGATGAACAACATAAGTATACGGTAGTTTTAATAGGTACAGCACGTCTACTGGTCAAAGACTTCAAAGATAAACTATGGAGTTTTTTTTTTAGTAAATACGGGGTTTGAAATTACTAATTAATATTTCCTATATTTTATAGACAATAATTTGTTTGTATCGAAATTTCCAGGTAATAATTATAGTAGTTGTTGGGCTAAATCTTTTTTTTACAACATTTTCAACCGTGATCAAAGAGTTCTATCCTATGTCGGTATTGACTGGTAATAAAAAAAAAAAAAATAGATCACGTCGTTGCAGCAAATGGTCGGTTAAAACGAAACAAGCATCATCGACCAATTCGAGATGATGCCTAATTGTTGGGTTACTTTTTTTCCTCTTTTTTTTTTATACTTTTTTCACCGCCGGCACGTAGTAAACCACATCAAAATGATGACGAACATTAAAAATAGTATGAAAACCAAGCCACATGGAAAACCGCTGCACACCGTAACTAATAGGCTAATGGAATCGGACGAATGACCCTTCTACGCAGATACAGTAGCTGCTGTCAATGATGATAGCACAGAATCACTGCTCTTTTGGGGGCCTTGAACTTGGCCGTCAACAATACACGATCAAAAACCACACAGACATTTACTGGCTAACTTAGAATTCGTATAACTTTATCGAAAAACCTAGTACCTAGTATTCAAGTTCTTTGAGATTTTGGAACAAGTATCAAAATATATCTATTTTTTGTTTTGGTTTTTTTTCTCGTAAATCGCCTCCGTAAAAATGCATCGTTTTGTCGAATTTCCAGTGTGTTCTATACATTTGAATAATTTTCTATAATTTATTTCAAATAGAGTTTTTGTTCCGTTTTTATTGCTAAACTCAGAACTGGTCTCAGAGTTAATCTGTTTAAAAGCTATTCTTAAATAGATACATATTTTGTTAAATTATCAAGACAGCGCAGTGAGGTCGAGTCATAGCGAGAACGAACATATTAAGTCAGAGAGGTCACAGGTAAAATCAAATACATGTTAAAAATTGTATTTTCAGTAATAGGGTGGATACAATTAGTGATGTTTGTCATTCTATTATAATATTTTGTTTTCGTTACTCATATGTCGAGCTTAAAAATATAATGAAAATATTTTCCTGATACCTGTTTATTCATTCACTCATAGCAAGCTGGAAATTTAATACGCCGCGAGTGTGATTCCTTTTTTTCTTTCCCTAAATAAATCTCGGTCTTTCGATCTTCAGCCCGACTATCTGAATATGGCATTAATTTGGTTTTTAGTAGCCTCTAAAGTTGTAAAGAAGTTACAAAACTACAATTAAGAATTTTCTAATTTTCATTTGAGTTAAAAAAAAATTCTACATTTATTCTGAGACCAACTTTGAACAAGAAATAAAGAAACTGTAACTTCAAATACACTTCATGAAATTATTCAAACATACAAAACACAATAATAATAATATCAAATGGAGTCTTATAAAATGTTGAAATGACGACCTTGTTTAAGAAATTTTAAAACCAAATTAGGATTCAACAAAAAAATTTATCTAATTTAGTTTTGTTTCAAAAAAACGTCAAATTTTGTTGTACGGGGTTATTTATATTAGGTTATGCCCCCCTTGGTTAGTCCAATCGATGAATATACACATTTTTTTACTACCTTAAGTTAATATTTATAATTTTCATTTATAAAAATGAATATGTTTTTAATTGATTGATCAGCATGCATGTATGGCCAAATTTCGAAATGGTTTGACTTTGAGTTTCGACTTTGCAATAATGTTAATTATGTGCTAACAGTGAAAAATCCCTAATTAATATTAATTTTAAATGCAAACTAATTACAAATGGTTTTGTATTTGTAATAATGGCCACACTGATCGCGTGTCAAAAACATTAAGATACATTAAGTCAAAATGGGCGATTTGATAACACGGGATTGCCGACAACAATTGGTGATATCTGTTATTGTTACTAGGTAGTACAATTTGTTTGTTTACATTTTGAAGTTTATCGTGAGTCACCGTTTTCTGTTTACAATTTGTGGGATTTGATATTTTCGTTTTGAATAATCAAGATGTTGAAGACTCTAATAAACAGCTCGACGAAAAGAGTAATGTATAACAATCATCGTTACTTATGGAAATGGGTAGAAGATACCTTTAACCGGCAAGTAATCTAAACAAAATAAACTTGAAAATACAACAAGTTCGGTTATTGAATTTGTTTATGTTGAATTAAAAGAGTGGAAGAAGATCGTATAAAAGAAATTGGACCAAACATGGCATGTGCTGAATGGTTAATGAAAAATGGCGCACAGATTAGATGGAAAGGTTGCAAGGAATTTGTTAATCACTACAATTGTTTACCCGCAGCTACAAATGGATCTCTGCAACAGTTTAAAATCGAACAAGTCTATGCTGGAAAAGAAGCTTCTATATCACATGTTGGGTTTAATTACTTTAGTAAGTGTTTTATAAAAATAGATTTTCTCTTACGATAAAATTACAAATAAATGTTGCACCATTCATTTGTACAAGATTAAGCTTAAATGTTGATGTTTAATGAATTTAGTATAATATGATTTTTGGTCTTTTTTTTGGAATTTGTATGATGAAGATAACACAAATTACTTTGTGTTACTTTCTATTAATGTTAAAATAAACTTTACAGAAGGTTGTAAACATATTTCTACTGTATCATTTGTTGGATGTAACACAATAGAAAACAAAGCATTGAGTAACTTGAATTTATTAGCCGAGTGTTTAGAACATTTGGAAGTAATTGGTTGTGTAAATGTTACTGACAATGGAATACTGGCATTAAAAGATCTACAGTAAGCTCTGAAATAAAGATCACTAATATAAACAAATAGTACACTATAGCTATACATATTTGCAGGGCATTAAAAACATTGGTATTAAAAAATCTACAATATTTTACGAAAACTGAAGTTATTAGTCAACTCAAAGATGCATTGCCGAATTGCAAAATCAAACATGACAAATAAATGTTTGAATATAGTTAACCTATTAGGTATAAATTTAAGTTAGTCAGTAATTTATTATGAACAATTAATTTATCACCAGGTATTTGTAAAATATATGAAATATAATGTGTTATTATTTTACTAAATTGATAAATAAATGTTATTGTTGTTTACCGAAATTTAAATATTTTTATGTGTACATCCATTATGCAAGTCGGTGAACCGGCATACATAAAAAATATTGTTTGAATATTTCTTTATAAATGTACGTGGCTTGTCCATTGTCAGGTGAGTCATAGTGTGATACAAAATATAAATATATATATATTTATAAAAAATCCACCAACTGGATTATTATTTATTATTGGTGTATTTTTTCACATGAGAAATAACTTGTAGATTTAACCTACATGTTGGTAATGACGTTTTAGCTCTTATAATATCATAAACACAAATTAAAATTATAAGTATGAAGATTAAAAGTACTATCGAACATAATAAAAAAAGTAAGATGATGGAGAAACAATGACACACTTAGTTTTGTAAAAATAATTAAAAATTAAAACCGATATTTATTACTTTTTTAAACACAAGATTTTTTTTAATTTATAGAAACAACAGCATGAAACAGAGTTCATCAATACGTTTGAAATTGAAGCCACTCAAAATGATTTTTACATTAAGCATAATGCTAATGTGGAACATTTCTATTATAGTTGCAGGTAATTTACTTTTTGTTTTGTTCTATTAAAAATCAAATGAAAAAATCAAATGCGTTAATATACCAAAAAATTGTGTTTTTTTAAGAAAAAATCCCACTACTTAAACTTTTTCAAAAATGTTTGCTTGATTACATAAATACGTCTCGTATATTATGAGAGAACTCGTAAGCCTTCATTTTAAAAGTTAAATAAAGAGCAATGTAATATTATAATATTTGTTATTGTCTGTATATTTCACAGTTATAAAAGGCAATTGCTGAATGGCCAGTATAGATTTTCTTGGAAAAGATCAAAGAGTGATCACGTGTTATTTTTTTTGAAGTACAGTGTACCTATGCATTATATTATGGTAGAATAATACATTATTACAATGATGACAGATTCAGCTTTTGATTGACACATAACGGTTGTTTATTCTTTACCGTTCATGTTATAATCTATTCACAGTAACATTAAGATTTTATAGCAACAGAATTATTAACTTTTATAAAACTGATTCCCAGAAACAGTACTTTTTTGTAGTCGTTCAAAATATAAAAATAAACATAGTTAATGAAAACAAAAAATATCTAGTGCTAAGCTCAGCCTAGCTGTTAAAAACAAGACATTGAAGAAGTTTAATATGTATTTTTTTTTTAATTGTTTCAGTACCATTAAGTATTTCGTACTTAAATCAAGATGAAAGTATAAAAAATGAACATTTTTTATTACAAAAAGGAGGTGCAGATAGACTAACCGACAAACATAGTTGTTCGGTTAACGGTTCTTTGTACAAAGACGGTGAAAACATTATTGGAGCAGCAGGACCTTGCGAAGAATGCATTTGTCATCCGCCTAATGTGGTGTGTTCTATGATGAAATGCCCAATTAGTAGTGGCTGTATTACTATCCAGTTGCCTAACAAATGCTGTCCCATGTATAAGTGTGGTAATATTTTAGTGCTCTATTTAATTTTATTTCAAAAATTAATATTATTCTATTTTTTTTTCTTCAGACTGCGAACACAAAGGTAGATTATACAATAACGGGGAAAAAGTTGATTCCTATGACGATTCTACTTGTAGAGTTTGTTATTGTAACGGCGGAGAAATAGTTTGTACTTCGATAATGTGCTACACGCGGAACGATTGTCAAGGATATTACCTACCAGGAGATTGCTGTCCAAAATACGATAATTGCACGTTGACATATTCAGGTATGAAACGATATTATAATTTATTATAAAAAAACAAAAAGTTTTATTTTGTGTTTATTTTTTTACAGAGCTTACTCACAGCCAAGAAAATTATTCTAAACAATCAAACATTACAATCAATTCCCACAGCCTTACAACAACTGAGACAAATTATAACGAAGATGAAGATAGTATTAAGAAAAGAGAAATGACCAGCAGTCTACAATTAAATATACCTACTGTTCCGAACATGGAATTATCGACTAGTTCTGAGATCGGAATCACTCAATCGAGTACAACAATACAAAATAATAATTCTGACGATATATCAGTTTATAACAGTGCAACTGAGATCATGGTCAGTAAACTTAACGTCGTTGAAGAATCAACACATTCTTTTTTGGGTATTAAAACTGATATACAAAGTATTGGAATTTCGAATACTGGAACTTCGACAGCAAATAATGATGCAACTGATACTACTTTACAGAACACAGAACCAGATTCATTTTCAGAAATGTTTGATGATAAAATTGAAACAACAACAGATATTGATAATTCAGTTGTAATTACTTACCAAAATGGTACAGAAAGTGTAGTCGGTGTTAACGAAGTACCATATGTTAGCACAGAACAATCTTTTACTTCAACTGAAAGTACTAGTACTCAAGTAGAAACTTTCGATCCAAGAGACTTAAATACAGGAGTCAAACGACCAATAATAGAGTTTTCTACAGATGTATCTGAAGTAAATTCAACAACAGACGACTTAGACGATGAATTATTCAGGGAAGTAACAACACCACCGCCGATGGATAAATCGACAGTAAGTGTTCCTCATAAATTGACATTGGGAAAATCTCAAAGACAAACGGAAGATGAGGGAAATACAGAAATAATTTTTACTGATTTAGAAGATACGCCAGACATGTTTGGCCCAAACTTTGCTCATCGGTCAAATAAAGTACAAACAGATGTAACTGCGGATAACGCGGAAAACAATACGTACTCAGATTTAGAAGACACACCAGACATGTTTGGCCCAAATTTCGCTCATCAGTCAAATAAAGTACAAACAGACGAAACTGTGGATAATGTAGAAAACACTACATATTTAGAAATGACTATGCATGATAACAATTTAACAACGTCAAATGCAATCAGTACAACAGAAAGTAATACCACAGTTCCTTTGTACACTAGTTATAATAATAGTTTAGAAGATAAAATCACAAATGACCCTATCACTAATCAAAATCCAATATCAACATTAGAAATCATTAATAACAATAGTCTATTAAATTCAGAAATTGAAAAACAGTATAGCTCAACACAAAGTATTCAACTAACCGAAGTTAATGATAAAAACATTTCCGAAATAGATGTAGCAAAATATGATAGTGAGTGTATAAATAACAATTGCACAGATGGCCATAATTTAAATGAAGATTCATCTACAAAACCCCAAATAGATTTCAGCTCAGCGTCAGTGCCTTTTATAATTACAGCTAAAGCAGTACCAGATAAAGCATCATCTCGATACATAGATGAATCAATGCCCTATCCAGATGAATATCCAGAAGAATTTGAAACCATTCAAAACGGCCCTTCAGTTATCATTACACGAAGAACATATACAAGTATTCCCGACGTAGTTTATACAACCACTACAATGGTAACATTACCAACATTAGACATGATATACAAAGCAAGTGAAGGAATAGAAAATTATTTAATAGGGGAAAATCAAACTACGACTGCTCGACCCAATAATAACAAACTTAAACCTCTTCAACCGACCAATTCAACTAATTCTACAAATAATTAATTTAAATAAGTTTTACCAAGTGCTTTATTTAATGCACTTATATTCATTAAAACGTCTGTAGCAACACCAAATTGATTTAAAGCAAATGTACAATTTTGGAAAAAAATTATTTAAAATCGATCATGTCAACTTGTAAAAAATGAGCAATTAAAAAAAAAAAAAATCACAAAATTATTTTTCATGCGACAGTATTAAAAAAAATAACTATAGTAATAATTACATACCTTTTTAAAAAGTATAATATTTATTTTATTTGTTGTTACCATTCGGAATTTTAGAATGAAAACAATTTAATGATAGGTTAAATAAAAATTAAATTAATTATATAATAGAAATGTTGTGATTTTGTTTATTTTAAAACAAATTTTAAGTTAAATTACTTACATAAGGTCAGTTTTTAAATTGTTACACCAAAGATATATTTAAAGCTAAATTTTTTGTTGGTTATGTCTGTGTTTTGTTTGTATGTTATGGTAGGTGCTGAATAATAGTTCAGAAAGAATCATTTCATTTTCTCTGTATGAGGGGAAAAAATGTAGGTATTCAAATATTTTATGTTACCACAATATTATTAATTAAATATATATATTAAGTAATATACTAAAGTGTTAAAAGTACCTAAGTAAATAACTATTATCACTGCTATAATATGTTTGTTATACAATTTAATATGAGCCCGTCAAAAGTAAAGTGGTGTAGGAAATATTTTTTTCTTGTATATTATTGAATCTATTTATTATTGATAAAAGGAAAGTTTTTAACAATTTTACTAGTTATACACACACATAAATTTCTGTGAGAAAATTAGTACTCGCACCATTTTGTTTTTGTTGGTCTCATATAGATAAGTAGATTTTAGGCATTATACTTAAGTTTAACTTATTTATGTAAATTGTATTTATAGAACTTCTTAATGTGTATGTTAGATTAATATTTATTTTATATTGTAAAGTGTAAACAAACCTTATTTAAAACTGATTATAATGAAAGCAACCCTCTTACTTTGTTATCGTGAGATATCATTTCTGTGTTTTAAACTTCATTCTATATAAATTTGGCATTACGGAAAATGTTTTTGTAAAAAAGAAGAAAAGGTAAATAAGAATTTTTAAATTAAACAATAATTGTGTAGCTGTATACTCAAAATATTGAGCGTGCTAATAATTTTATAAGATATACAATAAATTAAAGCACTGATATCATGAGATAGTTTCCAAAAGAATATGCTACCCAGGATTCTATATCATTAAAATATTTGAATATCGAATGAAGTACAATTAATTGTTCTTAGTTATTTTATTTTATTTAAAAGTATTTTAGATATATTAAATTGACACCAATGTTTTTGAATTAATAAATAATTTAACATGAGTATAATTCAGAAATTTTAGTGTTATTGATGTTTTAATATAAACTAAGTTTGAACTAAAAACATATCAACTAACCATTTACTATTTTTGGCATAAGTTCATACTGGAATTAAATTGAAAAAAAATGTCTGCAGTGACAAAAATTTCTGCAGCCTGAATGTTTAACAGCCCCAATTTTTTTTAATACCTTTTATGCTACAATAGCATTCTTATAATATTTCATCCACCCCTATTATTATATGAATTAATCACTTCAGTTAAACTTTAAATTCCACGCAATTTTGATTATTTAACATAATATTTCTAGTTAAAACTCAACTATTACTTACTACTAAAATTGGATATGATTTATTCATTTATAAATAAATTTAAGACTAAAAAAAGATATTGGTAGTATTTAAAACGCATAGATATCAGAACCGTGTATTCTATAAAAAAATATATATAATAAACATTAGCTAACTAATGTAAATCCTAACGATTTAAGAAATTTGATTAACTAAATCAATTCTTTAGTTTTCGTACTTCATAACTAATGTTTTTGCCATCATAATTTTGAATATCTGTTAATAGTAGGTATTGAAAGAACTTACCAATAAGTACTATGACTGATTACAATGGTACCTGTATACAAAACTGGAAACGGTATTTAAATCAGGTGTCAATTACACGCACAAAACATGAAAAAAGTACACATTCCAAAATCAATTAAAAGTGTATGTAAATTACAAATAAAATTAAAAAAACTAAACAACAACTACAACAAATCCAACATTGTAATTAGTCGGAATTCGGTAATGGTTGGTCGATGGTAAAACTAAATACTAATTGCCATTTGCCAAAGCCCAAATAGTCAATTGGTAACGAGTATCAACAAAAGAAATAAGAATCGAGATAACCAAGAGTGTAGGTTTTTAAAAAATAACCGTTGTGGTGAACAGTGTAGGCAACCTACGCATACTAGCGACCAGCTATGCCGTGTGGTGTATCCGTGTATAATCAAATGGCGGGAACGTAGTAACCCGAAGCCGTAGATGATAGGATCATATTTTGCTTACTTAGTCGATTAGGCACTTACACGGGTAGTTTTTAACATTGATTATATTAACCAAAATTTACCTAATCTGTGAAAATACTATAATTACTAACTAGTAACTAAGTACTCAGTACTGTCTACTACCAGTTGACCGATGGAACTACCTCCTGTCGGTTGTCTGTATACTGAACGAACCAGCAAATGACCCTTTACCCGCTGTCAACCTTTTTTTCGAAATATTTTGCCTCTGTATTTAAGCCACCTCTTCTCTCGCCACAAAGATCTAATTGTGCTAATACCCACGCTTTTGACCTCTCATCAAACGGCTTTTTCACCTATGATATATTTTTCCATTATTCCTATCTTAATGGTTGGCGTACTCCAATATTTATTTACTGCGATATTTTTTAAATGATAAGTCCATTTGTACCCTCCCTCAACTTGTTAAAATACAATAGATTCTGTTTTATTTCGAAACATCGGTTGCATGTTATTTTGTCCCATAATCCGAAATTTAAAAACATGTTAAAATAAAAAATGTTCAATCAAATTAAATAGGAACTGTTTTATCGATAGAGAAAGATATGTTACAATAAATTAAGTAATAAATAATGTAATAAAAACATAAAATAATAATAATAATACGTTTACAATATTGAAAAAAAAATACCTATTTATATTATTTTAACCAAAATAAATAACATTAGGAAATGGGAAACGAATAATTGCTGGATTATCGGGAATAATTGATGTAATGTACTCGATAAATGTCCCAATTATCCGATTTCATGGCTCAGATAAGCGGTTAACATTTACACTACAAAGTACAATCATTTTGGCATCGTTGATCGGCTTTCCTAATTAACCGGTGTCGTTATTGATAAAAATCGAATTCATTGTCTATTCCTGCATTGAGAGAAGTTTAAAACCATACAATGAACACTAATTGATGAACAACATACATTTCGCCCAGGTAGATTTACCTCCAACAGCATTGTCACCTTAACCATAGATTTAATATATATGTAGGTTTTTTTTATTATGTTAAACGTTAATTAATTTGTATGGTTATCACATTGATACATCATACTATTACAACTGCATTAATAATTTAAACACCAATATCCTGGTATACAATAATGGCAATGACACTTTAGCGTTTGTAATAATATATTTTTTTATTAGTGTGTGAATTATGTTCGATAGCACTGTATGAAAAAAGCTTAACTTTTCATCTCGTGTTTTATTTTTTCAGTTTGTATTTAAATTATTACTAGTAGCAACTATAGAAGGATTTTTTTTTTACATTTTTTAAACAAGTTATACCAGTTATACCATGTCGAAAAAAGACATTTATGAAGAATTTAGACCAACGCTGGTTTATTTGAAGATGGTCACATTGTGTAGTCTCACGGACGTATTTTCGGGTCAGCCAATGTTTAGATTTGGCCGTAACTTGATGTACCCTGTTGTAAGTGTATCAAACTACAAAAAATAAATACATTTCCAAACATTTTATTTTTAACTAGTTTAGTTATTAGCATTTAGTTTTTAATTATTATTTAATTAATTTGAAAACTTTTTTTTTCTAAAAGATTATTATTTTTTTGAGATAGAATTTTCGGTCTAATTTATCAACCAACAAAATTAATAAAAAACTAAAAATACATAAATTAGTCGTCGCAAATCGCAATAGTTATTACAACGAATGAATTTCGATAATCTTGTAAATCTTAAAACAATGTTTTCAATTTTAAATATATTTTACTGGTATTAGGTGGTGTACATGGGATGTTTATACGTAGTTATTACGAACGCTCAAAAGCAGCATTCATTTCACGTGTGGTACTGGACATTTAGTGTTTCTATTCGAGAAATCGGTCGTATGTTTACATGGACATACGCAGATCGACAAATACCGGAGATCTTGGCTAAAATATACAAATTTGACATGGACATCGATAAGCGCCATTTACACTATCGATCAAAATCTGGGCGCTTTCTTCCTATTTATGTAATGATTTACATGTGCATGTTTGTATGCAGTATAATAGAGATTAGATACATCGGTATTTCATTAGAAAATTTCTACAGCGTGGTTTATAGGTAAATGGCATTTAGATTATTAAATTTTCAAATATTACAATAGTAAAATGATACATATATATATATATATATATATATAACATTAAATAAATTTATCATGATGATGCCCACCAACTATTTATTAAGAAGACGTCAACCACCGTTTGAAAAAGTAACAAATGATATTTATCAACATAAATTATTTAAATAAAAAATGAATAAACTAAAATAAATGAAGTGTCATTAATAAAATCTAAAATTTTATCATCCTTCGATTAGATGAATGGAAACGCATTCTGTTCAAAAGTAATATTTTTAACGTTGCCAAGGGCACTGTGGTGGTCTTAAAATAATTAATTACCAAGACTCGTCATGTTTATACTAATAAATATAAACCTACATAGTAGTTTTAGCTTTAAATTAATATTTTGTAAAAAAAATGTCTTACGTCCTATTTGTTACTACTTAATAAATAGGGAGTATAACGTCCTCTTAAGCAATAAAGAAGAGATAATTTTTCGCAAAATCGTAATTTAGACCTTGAAATATACTTCTATCTATGAACATTAATGCACTAATGTGGATTCTTTTATTGGTACCTAATTATTGTTAGACTAGCACAGCCACTTTTGTGGAAGAAATGAACATTCTTTTTATTTAACCTTTGGTCGCATTTCAAATATCATACATTTCTGTAAAGACCCACAACAGTAAATGTTATTTAACGTTTGAACGATTCTTAGGTCAGTCTTATCCGTCGGTTTCAACGAACGCATTTATATATATATATATATATACACAGTATAATAGTATGATGTCTATGCCTGTGCAGGTACTGGACTACGTTATATCCTATCATATATTTGATTTTCTGCGATCAGCTTCGTATTCGATTTCGGGCAAACACACAGAGATTGACTTCTGAAGTAATACAATTATTGTTGACGGCGAGACCACTGCAGGCCACATCGCATGTCATCGAATTAGAGCGTTTGGCTCACAATAGACTTTGCGACCTCATCAAAGATGTTCATGAAGCGTTCGGACCACCGATCGCCTTTTACGTGATGACAGTGTTTATCGAACACTTAGGTCGGTTTTACTCCTTACTACACTTAATGGCGTCGAATCACACTTCTCAGTTGGAAATAAAAAACAATCATTTTCTGGCATTGGAATCACTGCTGTTCATGGCGCATACCTGGACCGGCATGTACTTGATAGCACATCATTCCGACAAGCTCGTCAAATCGGTAAATATATAAATATATATATTTGTTATTGTTAATTAACAACTAAATAGACAGTAAGAAAATTTCGACTTAAAACAGTTTAATGCGATATTTTCGAGAACCGTGGGACGTCAAATCACCACGGCTGTGATTACTTATTCAATTATCAAACTCACTCAATTAACAATTTGTTTCTAATCACAGTCTAGATATATTTAATAGCTTTCTACTTTGGAAGGCAGTGAACTACGGTGTATATGCTATAGCTAATAGCTATAATGTCTACACCTCATAACTATATATTATTTCAGAGTAAAAATATTATAATACATTTGAGAAGTATACCATTGCTGAGATTACATAAGAATTGCGCCAATCAGGTACTTTAAATACGCACATATTCTGTGGGGTTTTCCCCCTTAAATAATTTTCTCACATGTTCCCCGAATAATTAAGGAGAAAGGAAAGGGTAATGTTTTATAAGACTAAAATGCGGTTAGTCACTTTCCAAGGTGTTTTGTTTTAAGATTTAACATTCCTTCTATAAGGGCTAAACGGCATAATTAATTTTTTTTTTTTTGAAGTTGTGATATAAGCTTTTATATTTTTACTATTTTATGGATTTTCTAATAAATCTAACTAGTTTTCTAATTTCTAAATCAAAAATTGTTCTTTTAGGCCCCATATAGAAAAATGTGTAAAAAATGATATCCGTTCAATATACAAAATTATGCCAAATATTGCTTATCTTAAGTTCCTTATTAAACAACTCTTCCCGTTTCCCTTGACTGTGAATGGTTAAAATTAAAATTCATTAATGATATAGGTGATTATATTCATGACTCAAGTACAAAATACGAATTCAACAATCAAGATTTCCGGTCTTTTTACATTGGACTTAAGTATTTTACCATCTGTAAGTATCTTAAACTTTAGTATTGTAATTATTCTAAACTTACTAAAAAAAAACATTGGATAATTAACAGCATCGACAAAAGTTCAACAGTGTTGCTTTGCTGTTGGTTATTTGCTTGTGGATTGAAATATCCTAACAATAAATATAAAATGTACTAAAAGTGTATACATAGTATAAATATAAAGCTGCAAGTATTAAGTATGCTAGCAAATTCTGTAATTATTCAATTTTTTGTTTCAGTTAACAATGTCGTTGATCACATACATGGTTGTGGTGATACAACTGTCGCCGGTCTTAAAAATGCTGTTTGTAAAACTTTCTTAAAAGTGACAAATAATTTATATTTGTTCTTAATTTGTTATACTCTTTTTTTACATTAATCGTTGTGTATGTATGTTACGCTAAAATAGCCGGTAAACCCTAAAGTAACCGCTTTGGTAGATTTTATTAATTTTTTGCTACTAAACCACTCATTTCTCAAACCCTACTAAATGTTTGAAAAGTATGAGAACCCTGATATTGCTTATATAATATAAATTAGCGCCTACTGTTTATGTACAATGACAAAAATGGTTTAAAATATATACCGTTTTTTATTTTATCAGGTTATTTTGTTCGAAAATGTAGAACAAAATGTTCTTTCGGTGTTAGTAGAAATTCCTACCCATCTAAATAATTTAGAAAAAGCCAATATGCAATTACAATTAAACACGTTCGTTTCCCAATAATTATACTTTGATGGTATACAACTTTAACAGGGCACAAGTAAATAATATCGGAGGACAACATTGAATTGAGCAGATAAAATCATAATTATACGTTACGATACATGCACGTGTTTGAATTCCGTTTTGGAGTTTGACTAAATATATTAAATAGAGTAATATTTCTAAAACAGTATACCTAGCATTAATTGCCACTGTACAAATGTTAAATTTAATTTTTAATTTTGTTCAATGAATCGCACAGCGTTGGTTGTTGGTACTTGTATTTTCTGTGTAACAGCTGTTGGGAAAGTGAGTACTGACTTTTGGTATATTCACAATTTAGTTAAAGTAATATTACTTTTATACAACCATTTTTATAAATATTCAATAAGTACTTTAAATTGTAGAGCAATCGATTTTCAAGTGGTTATCATGTCATCAGCTGGCGATATTTATGATTGCGCAAGGCCGAGTCTAATTCTGAGTAAGTTAACCACGATGACAAGTGTCAAAAACGTTTTTTCGGGTCGACCAAAATTTCAATTTGGAACTAATATGGTATACACAGTTGTAAGTATATGATGTTTTCAGCGCAACTATTTATTTTTTAATTTTACTCAGATAATAGTACGCTGTAGGCCCCAGGTCTGTATTAATATAATAGGTCAATTTCAATATATTGAAAATGTAATATATCGCTATAATATGTTTAATATTTGAATACTCTGCAATGTCCATATTATGATAATTATTGGAAAATTTCGGTATATTTTAGTCATAAATTATCAGTTTCGTTAGTTAATACAATTATGGCCAACAGTCATGTCATGTTGTCATGGCATTGTGTTGTTGCGACAATAGGTATAATAATGTGATTAGCGAATTATTACCTTATGCAGTGTACATTGAAGGCGTAGGAACATTTTCAGTAAAAACCAATTTTGAGATGTTCAGAAAGCATACCTTTTTTAAAAAATATATTCAGTTATATTAAGTAAAATATGTAATTTGTCTGTTTCTCACTATCACACGAGATTCGCTAAGTAAATAGGTATATGGCGTAAACGGAAGCGCAACGTTTTGGATGAGTTAGTTTTATAAATTAAAAACATTAGTGTGTAATTAATTATGTGATACTATTAGCGTTTAGATGGGTTTGATTGAAAAAAAACATCAAGGGGTAACTTTAGCAATTTAGAGGGAAATATGTTTTTACAATTTATTGGAAAAACTAGTTCACTCACAATCAGTATCAGAATGTTTGTACAAAAAAAAATGTATTTAATTAACCACTTTGTACATCAGTTGAATGTCTTAATGTGCTCAGTGTTGTTAATATACCTATTTTGTCCTGATAATATTTCAGGGTCTGTTGTTAGCGCTGAAGATGACAACATCGTTGTCGTAACACGTGTACGCAAGAAGTGTATAATTTTTATGGTTTAGGGTTCAAGTAGATTTTATATCTTTACTGTATATTTAACAATAAGTTTGCTTAACAGTTTTTTCCTGATAATATTTGTTATTTAATATATCACAAACACATTTTTTAGAATATATATATTTAATATTCGATCTCATGTGATTAATTCGAATAATCAGTTTTTTTCATTCGAGTATATATAATATTTAATTTAAATAATGCCCAACTGACCAATATATTTTGTATTCTGTTAAGCAGATAATGCACATCGCGTTTATGTACGTTTTCTACGTGAACGCTCTACACGAACAAAAGCCCATAGTGTGGCTTTGGACATGCAATACTTTTCTGCGAGAGCTGAGTCGTTTTGCTGCATCGACATACGCCGATAAATGTATACCGAAGATCATGGAGAAAATAAAAAAATTCGACGACGACCACGGGTACCAGTTGCAGTACCGAAATGGATATCGTTACTTTGTGCTGTTTTACGGATCGGTCTATCTGTGCATGGCCGTTTTCAGTGTCGTGGACTTGTATTGCAACGGCTTTACTGCAGGAAACATTTACAGCGTCTTCTTTAGGTACCTAAACAAAGTCGGATTGCGGACGTGTACCGCGAACAATAACAAAATAGGACGAATTGGGGGAACCGCAATATTGAGTATCGGCCAACCGAACAAATTCACACATTACACAAAATATGTATGGCAACCGTCCTTTATTCCCGCCTGATTTTCGTACACTTCAGCCAGACGACTAATCCACGCTATTTAATAATCAACCAGACGCTCAATACGGGTTTAATCGTAAATAGGGACTATTTCCATCTATACCTAGTGCCAGATTAATGACTATTTCCGTAAGTGTAGAACTTAAAGAACAAGGACTATTTGCAATTTTGATCGCTAAAAAGGTTGTCCTAGTACACGTTATTTAGAAGTAAACTTTAAAAGTGAAACGTAAAAAGGTGACGTGGTATTAAATAGGGACACAAGACGAGATTGTACTTTGAAAATAAGTATAACAGCACTAAAATACAAATACGTTCTCCGCCTAGTTAAAATGCTAAGCGGAGAGTTCTTCCCCGGGCCGAGCCCGAGAGAGTCCTCTTCGACATCACCGTTTGTGTGGCTTTAAATAATAGAAATAAATATCGTTTTCGCTGTACAAAACGTTTTAACCGTTCGCCATTTGGCCTGGACACACTGCTTAGTTTCATAATTGTATAATAATAATTGTATAATAATAATAATATTTTTCCTCGCTCCTACTACATTACATTACATTGGCCCCGTTCAGGTACTGGTGTTCGATATTTCCTCTTCCGTACTTGCTGTTCTGCGATCAGCTCTACTGGCGGTTCCGGGCCGTCGTAGCGCGATGGCGTTCCCGGGTGGATAAATCACTATTGCCGGATACCGCCAGAGTGTCGTTGATCACTTGCCGAGCGATGGAGGCGGAACGAGTGGCGCACGGTCGACTTTGCGACCTCGTCGGTGACGTGCGCACGGCGTTCGGGCCCAACCTGATGGTGTACTTGCTGTTTTTGTTTCTCGAGCACCTGGCTCGGTTTTACTCTTTGGCCTATCTGAAATGGGCCAACCACTCGGCAACCGGCGCCAACGGAATCGAAGCGCTAGAACCGCTGCTGTTTCTGGCGCACGCTTGGACCGGCATGTTCCTGGTGGCTAATCTCGCGCACAAGCTCACCGAAATTGTAATTATGTCCTGTCAACAATAATGATTATAGCCTATCAACGTAATATTATGCTAACCGAAAATGGTAAAAATGTTAAATGGTAACAAAAGTCAAACCGGAATTGCAATTTTTTCCCCACCATAACCGCTGCACGATTGATAATTTCCCAAACAAATTTGGAATTATGTTGACAGTTTTCTTATTGCATAGTTGAAGTACGTACTTTTTTTAAAACTAGATGCCGTGTCGTTTAATACGTTTTTCACTACGTTTTTGAGAACAAGTTTAATTTCTTTTCGAATAAAGTACTGCTGTACAACGGTTTCTGATCTTAATGCTTTATCTATGGACAATTGGCCTAGATGCTTATAATATGTTTGTATTATTTAAAAACGTATATCGTCTCAAAAGTATATCTAATAATATTATAATATAAACGAAACTTAATTACATATTTAATATTTTTCAACCATTTGTACAATTATTGTTGATATCTTATAATTATTATTTGGTATTAATTCGATATTTCTTTTGGTAGAGTAAAGAGATTATGGTAGACTTGAGAAGTATATCCATACAGAAATTACCTCAAGAGTGCGTTGATCAGGTAAATATTTTTTTCGTAATGTTTCACTTGTAAATTATGAGAAATACAGTGTCTGCCCGTGAGAAAGAGGTAGAGAGAAATATCATATTCAATGGTCAATGCATATTTAATTACTATTATGATGGCTTACATTTTTTTTTTTTTGTAATTATACTTAGGTGAGTTTCTTCATGTGTCAAATAGAGCATTCCAACACAGAAATCAACGTTTTAGATCTCTTCAAAGTGAACAAAACTATGTTAACGTCTGTAAGTAATCAAAATGAACTAATAGAATACAACACACGTTACAATTTCTATTTCTTGCTTTTTATTGAATAAAGCGTAACTTAGTTATATTAGGCCGTAACATATTTCATATTAGAAAAAAAAAACGTTTCAGTGAATACTGACCATTGAAATAAAGTGCAATAATTAATTTTTGGGGTATCTGAAACCAATTTAATTTTTACCGAATCATACTATCCAATATGATTTCTTAACCTATTAATATTTTTTTCGCGCATGTATAGTATGGTAAATTTACACTATACTCTGTGCTCATTAAAACCTTTATTATTACATTTCAGATAGGGTTGGTATTGGCTACGTACATCATTGTTTTAGTGCAGTTATCGTCGAACATCAAATCAATATTTGCAAACGTATGAAAACCATTCGATTTTTGAATACCGCAAATAGCTAGTAAGGTTAGAGCTAAGTAGCTAGGTTAGACTCTTAAGGGGAGGTTAATTGTTCACATGACAACATAACTTTTAAACGTCAACGTATAAACAGTCTGTTTTAATAACCGACCTCATAGTTAAAAATGTTTTTTCTCGAATTTCATAACGAATCTCTCGGAGAAAATGTTTTGGATATGCCACTGTTGGAAATAAGCTTTGGGAGGCTAAATCCTCTTATCTTTATTTAAAATCATTAAAAAAACAGTAATAATCGCTTGGAAGCAGAGATAGGAAAAATGTAATTAAATAACGAATAACAACTAAAACAAATCGAATAACGTATAAGTTAATAATATTTTATTCAGATAATATTTTTATAATCGCCAAATAACCAAACACATGATTAAAATAAAGATACATTATAATATACTGCAATTGTATCAAATAACAGAGTTTTTTAATGGTTAAATTTCTTTTAAATAATGGAAAACATCGAACATGAAACAGATAAATATTTAACGATTTATTTTTTTATTATTTTTTTATCTTCAAAATGTATTATACTATTAAAGCTTTTTTCGTGTAATTTTTAGATAGGCGTACATAATTCTTGTATTATATTATATTATACGCGTCATGGGTCATAGTAAATATAAACCGTTGCATTGTAAGCAAGTTATGTCTTTCAACATATTTAGTATTGTTATCCTATACAACTTATGTATCCATAAGGTATACAAATTTTGATGCCTATCGAAAAAAAAAACGCAATCGTCAAGTCAAGACGACATATTAAAAAATGTCTTTAGGTACGTCCAATAGTCTTATTATAGTAAGTAATAACCGGTGTACATTGAATGTATTCTGTCGTCGCACGTGGAAATACGATATGAGAAAGTTATATTTTGAGTTTCAGGGTTGTGCTTTAAGTGTACCGACTACTGAGGTACTGGCCATTTCTCTCACCATAGTATATGCATACTTTCTAAATGTGTAACATTTTAAATAATTGTTCCAACGGAATAAGATAATGTATAGAAATAATAAAATTAACCAGTAAAATCATAACAAAAATAACCTGAAGGCAGTACTTATAATGTATAACACTGCTTATTATGCTTGTAAAAAGCAGTATACTTAGTCCACACCGCAATGTACCTAATATGAATAACAGCAAGTAGGTACATGTACCGTTTCTTACTAGTGGGTAAAATTCAATAGACTAACGGAATACCGGTATAGAAATCTTAATTTAGTCAGCCCAAGGATGTTTTCACTACCGTCCATAGACAAAAGTGTTAAATAGCCAGGAGAGCATCAGCTATATTATATTGTACAAGTAAATATAGAATTGAGCATTTAATTTTTGTTATTCCGTGTAGGAATCAAAATGTTAGAATTGTCCAAAAACAATCGAGATAGGATGTCAAATGTCCAGAAATATTAGTCTCAGAAAATAAGAATAAAATTGATAAAAAAATTGTTTAGAAAAAAAAAATGATTTGTTTTTTTTTCCAAAGATAAATCAATATACATTGAACGCAGCTATAGCAGCTATGTGGTTTTATTTGTATACAATAATTTTAAAAATTAACCATCGTAAAAGCGTATTGCTTAATAGTATTATGTTTATTATATTTACCATTAAACGGATTACGCAACTTGTCACTTAAAGCAAGTTAATGTTTTTCACTGGACTTTTCTATTTTTTTAATGCGATTGCTTAACGGTTATACAGATGTACACGTTGGTTGTGCATATTATTACTATTATTATATTCTTACCGTGTAGTCCTGTTACATAATTTTTCCGGTATAGACGCGACGCGTATAGCTAACAAGATGTACTAACGACCAATGTTAAGTATCAGTTTTATCGACTGTTACACACAAAATAAACTAGAATTCGGTTTCAACCAGTTAGTATGGGTTTAGAGTGAAGCGTTTAATATTATAATCATTAATCTTTGTAAACATATTTGTCACTACATTATATCAACACAACGTTGCCCCAATGGCTACAGCCTACACATCTTCTATATCTATCTTTGCCATACCAATATTTGTCAAGCGAGTAAAACACAATTTGCATGTGAATCAAAATTAAAAATAATAATTTTATCTTCACGTTTTGAATAATTTTATTTACAAAATGTGTATCATAACGGTTAATAATGTTAAAATTAAGTTTGAAATTTTGTTGTTACAAAAAACCAACTGTAATATTACCTTATACGTATATAATATGTAGTAATGTAATGTTTTAAACAAGACTTTAAATATGCTTGCATGACTTGTATACTTGTACTAATGTACTTACTTATCGTTGAATTTGTATGTTTCCTAAGAAAAAAAAATTAGGTGTAATTTAAGTCAAAAGAAAACTCGAGCGCTATCATAATTATCAATCTGTGTAAGGTGTGCGTGAAACTTAACAGCTATTTTATTTAATAATGGTTCCATTATTAAATATTTTAATGCTGGACTTGAAAACGCTTTGGAAACCATCGCTGGACAAAATTGATTGTAATTTCTATTGACACAGACGTGCGCATTAAGTTTAATGAAAGGTCCAATAAATTATCTCGGAGAAAGTAGCTCGATTTTCTGTTTTTATACGCTCCCACTTGAGACTGCTTGTTTTACATGATCAGGCGAACCTTGTCAACGTTATAAAACGAACCGAGCTGCTTTGTTATTATGATTTGAGGTTCAGCGCATCAACTAGGAAGAAGTTCATTCACTCCGGTAAGGTAAGTCCTTAAAAACAATTTGTTTTACCGTTCATTTCATTCCAGTCCCCGTCAACGTGTACTTCTTAATTCGGATAAACTAATAGTTAATTATTTATTCGTTTATTTTTCTATTGTTAAAATGAGCAATTTTAGAATGCTCAGTTGGTTCACACGCTATTAAAATATGAAATACCACAAAATAAAAAATAAGTGATACATATAAAAAAAAAAAAATTACTTCATAAGGTTTATTGGATTGACTGAATACAATGCATACACCTTATATTTTTTAGTTTGGTGCCTAGGGGTTTTGTAAAACCAAAACAACGCATTTTACAAATTACAAAAAAATTATTTGTACATTTTCAACTTGAATTCGCATATTTTATGCACTAGCTGTTTTTTAATTTAAACTTTTTGGTACATCACGCTAAAAGTATTTTAAAAATTATGTCTTAAAATTAATTCGCTTAAATAAATATTAATACTGTGTTTAGTTCCAAATATTTTAATAAAGAAATACAATTTTCGCTACTTATGAATTTTGTTTTATTATATTAATATGAAAATTAATGTGTTTAATAACATTGTTAAAAATAATAATATTTTATTTTATACAAATATTTTTGGAAGCACTATCATATATGATAACTTTGCGCCAGGGAAATGTTTATAAATATTTCTTTTATTCGCAATAACAATTATACATAATATTTAATTTATAAATATAATAGTTATAAAAAAATTTATTTCTAAAAAAAAAAAATATTCTATTTAAAATACTAATAGAACTTAACTATAAAATAAGTGATAGTTGGTTTATATTGTTAACTGGTCTTCATAAAATAGCGAGTACTTACTCTTTTCGAATAATTGAAGTGCTGTATTAGCATGGTAATTTCCAAATAAGTGAAGTCTGTATACAATACACGTTTTTAAGACTACACAGTCAAAAAAACATAGTTGGTCCAACTAAAATCATAGTTAATAGAAGGGGACACAGTACATTTCTAGGTGGAATAACTAAACAAATAGCTGGGCCAACTAAATTTTTAGTTAAAGGAACTATACATTTAGTTCGATCAACTGTTTATTTAGTTATTCCATGTAGAGATTTATTGTGTCCTATTAACCATAGTTGTATTTGTTCCCGTGTACACATAGTCGAACAAAACACGATAAGCTCCTTTACACGCCATTGAAAAAATAGTAGGTAGCCATTTAAAACGGTACAAATAATTTTTAAAATGATTTTACATATCATGAGGCAAACTGCAAAAGTAGTATTTTTAAGTTATAATATTATAAAGAGTTAATAATTATATAATTTGTAATGAAAGACGTTTTTTTATGTTCAAAACCAGGGTTGAACTGTTTTTTGTTTCTCTTCAAATTTATCATATTTTATATAGTAGCGTACCGCCGAAGCACACAATTTTCAATATCATATAAGCGGACAACATTTGTCATTTTCCTACTTTTGATACAAATTGAACTCCAACTAGTTTGTGTACGATAAATCACTGTTGTGTATAACACCTTTTTTTTTTTTGTATTGTATTGTATTGTAGAAACATGAATTCGTTTGTACGCGCTTTGGTGTTGAGCACTTGCGCAGTGATGTGCTTGTCGATGCCACAAGGATCCAAAGAGGGTGCCATCTTCACAAACGAGGCCATCAGACAAGCCCAAAACACGCATCTGATCCCGCAAAATGCTCAAATACAGAAAGTCCAAGAGGGCGTCGAGCTGGCCGCTTACGAGTCGATCCCCGGATCTCAACCTATCAACTTGTTCGAGATCTTGGGCGACCACGTGCCCCCAGAGGTAGTCAGCAACTTGCAGACCCAAGTCGACCAAGTCGGAAAGCAATGAAGTCTTTTTTTTTAAGTATTATTTAAGTATTTTGTCGTTGTAAGTCTGAAAACGACTCATCGAGAGCGCCCCTCGTTCGACATTCTGTAACGGGTACCGTTGAATTGACTAATTATGACTGTATAGTGTATATACAATAACTCTATATATATATATATTATATCTTTGGTCCTGTATAATATGTAATGCGGTGTAACGCAATCGATTTGTTTTAAACGGAGAGAAAGTGTTTGTTTTTTTTCAACGGAAATCCTTTCACCCAGCTAATTTTTTTGATTTTTTTGTTTTTTTTTTGGTCAACTAAATGTATTAATATATTAACTTTCTATACCAAAATATGTAACCGACGAGTATACCTAAAATGAGATTTTATTAAAAACCGTTTTAACAGATAAAATATTCCACTCTGCTGTTTTGTTTTACAGTATTGTTTTAGCAACTGAACATACAACAGACAGATTTACTTTGACCGCGTTTTATGCACGTGGGCTACTTAATTGCATATTAGGTGTAGTCTGGTCTGAAGTGATATAGCGATTAAAAGCTCACTTCTGTTTGTGTATGTCTCCAAAAAAGCATTCATCGTAACAATAAAATTCATTATTGATGATCTTAGAGCTTCTTTGATAAAAACGAAAATTTGTTAAACAGAGATTATACTTAGGTAGGTAATTTGCATTTTTACACGAGTCCTTCGTCGTTTCATTAAATGTATTGTGTTCTCGACAAACGGATAAAACAACAAAGTCTTAAGCGTTATTAGTAATTGAGGTTTGTATAAATTTAAACCTTTAAGTTTAAATACTAGGTTTGGACAAGGTGGAAAATATTAGGTTTGTAAGTTTAAATGGAACGATAAAATAAGATTTTACATGCACACACGGCTTATCAGTAACCTTAGATTTAGAAATTTGGTTAAAATGATTTTAATGGTTTAGTTCAAACGAGTCCGCAGCTTTCTTTTATTCTAATTTTAACTGTTTTTAAGGTGATTAATTAAGAATTGTAGGGAAATTAAATCGGATTATTGCCAATATCGTTTGTTTTAAAATAGTTATCTGCTAATTTGGTTATTAATTATCTCTCGAATTTTGACACAGACTAAAAGCGTTTAATGATAAATTAAATCTGTTCTATAACGTACATTGTACATCACCAATATTACTAAAGTGTAATTTTGCATATTTCTTCTCCCGAGTCACGACTTCAATCGTTTTACTTCAAACGGCAAAGCTAGATTAACTAGTTTATAAACTCTGTATCATGACGAACGCTAAAATGGGTACCTAATATAGGTATATTTATAGAGTAATGATACAGCAATAATTTGATTTTCAACATTTTCACATCTGAAAATTAGACCGAAGGTAGATCTAAAATAGAACTAATAACTACACAATTTTCAAAAAAATCTGTAGTCAACGTTTAGTGTTGTTAAGAAAAACCCCTAAAAAAAAGGGAAAATTACACTTTGAATCAACAGTCAACAGGTAGAATACAAATATTTTCATTATATGGGTAACTATTGTCGTACACGCACTTTGGTACACGAACCGTTAAACACACATACACTGTAAATTAAATTACTTAATACCTTTTACCTAAACACTAAAGTGACTTTTTAGTAAGTGCGCATAAATGTGGCAGATCTCTAATCATCTTCCGGATTGTTTCTGCCTCGGGTGTTTTTCCATCCAACGAACAAGCCTCTGATTATAAATAGTATAATGCCTCGGGACAATTATATCGTCTAGCTTTATAACTATTAACAGACAGGTGGGTGGCTTGAACGCAAGCACTGACACTAGCAAAGAAACAAGAGCCGTACTGTGGCTACCTCGGGAGATGCGGTCTTCAATACAATACACTCAATATAAAAGAACACTTAGTTCGAATTACCTCAAAATCGACGGGAGAAAAGGTAAAACTTTTAAATCAAGTAAAAGAAAAGTAACTCAAAAGTTAATAAACACACGCACAATTATGACATTCGTAAAAACAATAAAGCACGCGACAATACCCTCCTCGTAACAGAACGGTCGCTTACGGGAGAGTGCCCCCGACAATGTAATTTGAACTATGAATGATCTTTAACTATGAAAAACCCATCCTCTCGAATAACAAAATTTATTTTTAAATTGTTAGAATTTGATCTCGAAATTAAACATAAACCGGGTTCTTGGAATAAAGCAGCCTTTGATTGTCTTTCTCGATATCCAATCGATGTGTTGAATATAAAGAAAATTTTAGAAGAAGAAAACGAGGACAATGTTGATTTTAACACTATTAATTTAGAAATTTTAAAAGAAAAACAACTAGAAGACGAACTTTTTTTGGGGGGGGGGTATAATTTCAGCCATTAAAGGGGATGAAACCTCAAAATATAAAAATAAATCTAGACAATATTGCATAAAAGATGATTTATTATTTTACAAAAATTGGTCACCGAAAGGTACTAATTATCTTTTAGCAATACCTAAAAGTTTAATTGAATTAGTGTTAAAATCATACCATGAATCTGTTTTTTCAGGACATTTTGGTATATTAAAAACTTTAGCTAGACTAAAAACTAAGTATTATTGGCCATCTATGATTCAAGATACAAATAGGTTCATTAAATCTTGTGTTTCATGCCAACTTTATAAAATCCGGTAGGCAAAAAGCCAGGGCTATTACAACCTATTTAACTAATAAGTGTTATATGAAAGTAAAATTTATTTTTTTCTCCATCACAGTACCAGTAAAAGATTAAATTTTAATTTCAATGTTAGAGACTCAATATTTCTTTAGATCACAACACAAAATTAATATACAATTTAAGGATCTATGCAAAGGCTTTTTAGTTGCATTTTGTTTTGTACATTGTCAATCTAGTAAAATATAATTATTATAATAGAGCTATGGAAGAATAATATAATCTATGAAGCATAAATAATTAGTGTGAGATTTCTCTAATGAAAGTATATACATAAATATTATTTTTATTGAGTATAAGCGATTTAAATTTAAATTATGGAGTACAAACGATTGAAACATGAGTCATCGACCATTCCAACTAAATTTAACAAGACATTGATTATATGTGTTATTTGCGCCACTATGTTTTTGCAAAAAAAAAAGTAATAAATACCTAAAACTTTTAGCATAATTTTTGTATTGCTTAAAGAATAAAACTTATGGTTCAAAAATTAATTATTAACCATTGCAACGCGCGCCGGGTAAAATATGTTCAAGCAAAGTCCGTGGTAAAACTAAGCTTTAGCTCCTATTCTAAGACCAGATAACGAAGCCTTTGAAAATGACATTGAGAGTGCAACAAGAACAATATTCCGTTGATTACAGGTCTGGTGCGTAGAGAGTTGTACATTTTTTTTTTACTCTCCCAACCTTTTCCCATCATCTCCTGGCCTTATCTAATCTTCTATTTCTCTCCTCCTCTCCGCTATTCTCTTTTCGCAAATTCATTACAGACATGACCACTTAAGATACTTACCGCAGCGGAATTTCGAGAAAAAAATATAACTAAAATAAACGCGATAAGGTCCGGTATTACATGTATTACTAAGTATACGTCGGGCATAAACCAGTAAAATTTAGTGGGAAACAAGAAGCTGTAAAGCTAGTTATGCGAACCGGGTAAAAGCTAGCCAGCCATATGACCGTTTTAGTGTTAAAATAACTAATGAGTTGATTAAAAAACAACTCGTTTTTAAAATAATTGTTTTTTTTTGTTGGTACAGTTTTTAAACTGTACAAGTAGTTTGTGTAGACGTTGCAGTTTTTTAAACATTCATGTCGAAGTTCAATAAAACATACCCAAAAAGAGAAGAAAAAATAATTCCTCTTTTTCCGGAGGAAAGGGTTAATGATACCTCTTTAGCTGCATCAATGTACAAAACGTTTGTGTTAATATGAAACGGGACGCAGGTTCGGGAATAGAGTAAAATATTGCATGCGTACCAGTTGGGTTTTCTATACAGTTTAGGTTAAGGAGCAATCTGCATTTATGATAAAATGTACTATGAGCTTTTATGCTACCACTAGTTAAGCTCAACATATTTTCGAAATCGTTTAAATTATTAATAAACGTCTACTACTATGTTTTATAGCTAATGTTGGTATGTATGTTGGTCTTCGTCACGAGAAAAAGTAGTATGTTTCGTTTTTGAAATCGAAAATGTAATAGATTTAAATAATTTATTAGTAAAACAATAACATAATGAAAGTGGTTTGATTGTAAGTTTGCAATAATTGGCTATCGTACAATTAATACTTATTAACCAACAAGCTTTCAACGATGTATTCAACTTTGTTCTATTTTGAAAATATTTGTTTGTGGAAATGTATTTTCAAGAGGAAAGAAATAGTATGATCTATCTTTTTTTTTTTTTTAAGGGAAGTCAGGAATTATGCGAATTACCATCACCAGTCAAAATATAAATAACATAATGCTTTTAATAATAATTTAGCATATCATTTAATAAAGTAATTATAACTTTAAAAAAAAAAAACCGATGAACACCAGTTAGGTATATCCATAACCAGTATATAATCCATACGTAATACAAAGTCAGTGGGATGTGTACAGAACGTTTAATAGGTTTTGCACTGCATAATGTTGTGGACGTGTTGGCGAATACGCGTGTAAATCATATGATTGTCGCCTGAACAAAACGTGTGTGTTGTATGCAAATTGTGTCGTGTTTAGTTTTTAACATCGATTCCGGTCGCGGCGCTATAAATTTGCTCGAAAGTCAAAAGCGACAAAACGGTTTTCCCAGATGGCTTTATATGACCACACACGATGTGGGCTCTCCGGGACTCATGAGTTGACCTTTTGCGCGCATGCCACGGCGTTGACGACCTATTGTGTGTACGCATAACAACACATGATAATAATATGTAACTGTGGTGACAGTTTTCCGTCCTCGATACCGAGTTAACGTACCTATTAATGTATTGTTTGTTATTTTGTTTTTTCACGGTCGCGGTGACAAAAGTATACAGTGAACACCGCGAATTTTGACGAGAGAGAGGGGGAGGGGCTAGGGTGGGCTTAGCCCCCCAATGCTAGACATGGCCCACCAAACAAATTAGGTTGTGCATACAATTTTGAAATACAAAAATATATTTACTTAAATGTATATTTTAAACAAATTTCCAGCTCCCCGAGTTAAAAATTGAAATTGCGCCTATGCCCCCGGCCCGACGACGACACTAAATTGCGACACTGAAATAGCACGCTAACTTTAAACGTAGTACAATTAAGACTATACTGTATCGTCATAAATCGCAAGGAGCTCGATCGCTATTCGCAGCAGCCAACAGGCTAAAGCATGTTGTTCCGCGTAAGCCCCGTTAGGCTTTTTAAGTAGACTGTAGACTATTTTTTTGATTTTAATTTTTACTCTAAAGTAATTTTCAGAAATATTCGAAAGCCAAAATGCGATTATTCTAGTTGAACCGTTATCGATCGTGCGTCATCAGCCGGATAACTTTAATGGGCGAAAATCCACAATCATCCTTTTTTCCCCGGATCGTCGAACCGGAAAGGATAACGTACTATTATTATTTTTTTTTTTAGAGAAAAACTATCTACAGATAGGTATATTCTGTATGATAATAACACCGTGTGGTATAACGCGCGTATAGGTACTCTCTCGTGATAGTTTACACTCGCATATGCTGCTGGTAGACGGGGGCTGCGCGCGACGATGGCAAGCGGAGGGCCGCCGCCTGGAAAACGCTATGGGCATGACAATAATATGTGTACCGCGTGGCCCGACCGAGTGCGGTAAGCAGTCTGTGCTTGACCACGCGGTCGTATGGTTACTACTAATTTCCGTACGATGATTTGTCTGTGGATGGTCGCGCTACTAGTGCTATCGTTCGGGACAAGTAAGCCGGCCGGCGCTAACGCAACCGCCGTTGAAGTCTCCGCCGACTTGGTGCCCGTCGACGTCGCCAATATCACAGGTAACGTTCTGTTTTTCCCGTGCATTTATCCTGTAAACATCCACAGTCGTCCCGTATGTTGTATTGGAGCGGCACTTCCTGTCCGATTTTGTCCCAGCCGCGGGCAACTTGCCTGTCCTCGAATCACGGTAAACTCGAATAGAGAAATTGACGAATACTCCATTCTCATTATTTCCCTCGAGTGTCTAATAGCTATACATTGGTACGCACTTACGGTATAAATAATTGTGTTCACAAAAATACTACAACGGCCCCGTCAGTGTTGTGATTATCGTGCACCACTACCCTGCAGACAAATTAAATGTCAACAATTTCAAGATCTTTTATTCAAAAACTAACTGCGGTTAGATTTTTTGTAACTAAATAAAATATGACATAAGAAACCGTTTGAATTTTAAAGGTACGCGCTCTTGCTCAAACAAAAAATTATCTTTTTTGTAACTATCTTTCTCAATTATAAATTACTTATTACTTGTTTATCTAGAATACGGTTTTTGTATCAACAATTCTATTCGAAAACAATTATTTATGGGAAAAAAACTATCCGCGAAATGTTAAAGTTTGTTATTTAATTATATAATAATAAATTATAACTTATAAGTAACTAAACTTTTTGCGTGACGTTTTGCATCGTCTTACAGACGATTATTTCAAAACGCAAAAACTGACATTATAATATACGAACCTTATTATATTCTCGACTAGAAATTTTGCATTTAAAAAAATTTATAAAGAAGCGCTATAATTGGTTGGCCTGACTGTTAAAATATTTGGGCGGCGACCAAAATTCTAAACTTGGTGGCTTACACAATGTTGTTCAACACGTAATTGTCTGCCAGTTCAGATATTTTTCGAATTTGAATTACTCAACATCGATTTATCATATTCTAAATGGACGTTAATATCCTTGTTGTTTAGTGGAAGCCGGAAGATACAGCCAATCTTGTCTCGATAACGCTAATTTGATCACTTTTAGTAATATTTATATACATACATTTATGTATTTCTTTAGTTCATAAAGAATTGGTTTTAACTAAACCGTAATATACGTATATATTTATTATTAAAATGTATACGTATTAGGTTAGGTGTACGGTCACTAGTAAACAACTAAAGATACTACCCTATACAGTGCAAAGTATTTAAAATTATTTTTTTCTAATAGAATAGAATTTTACAATGTTTTTTTACTGGCAAGTAGATTAGGTTGACAATTTTGTTTAACGGGTTATTGTGCTCTTAAGCCAGAATAGCCAAATTAACGACCAGGCTTTTGGACGTTAATGTTTTATTGTAGTAGGTATTATACCTGTAATAGTCATTGAGCATCAACAGATAGTACAGTCCATGTATTCTACTTTAACGTGTGTTTCACATGACCGTTAACGTGGTAGATTTTTTTTGCTGGATTTTTCACTATAGATATAGTTTTAGATTGGCAGAAACCGTTTGTCCGACGGCCAACCAACGGAAACACATTACCGGAAATACTAGAAGAAATGGTATATAAGATAAATAGAATATCGGCAAAATTATATAGGCGGGAATGGGTATAGGAAAAAAAAAATAAACGGCCGGCAACATTTTTCTCAAGAAAACACAGCACTTCTGTCTGTGTCCTGGCCGGGCAATTAGTTAATTACAAACACGGTACACGCGGTCCACTTTAAATAATTAAATCACTGGGAATGTGTTTGTATAGGTATATTATGTTATATTCTGGTCTTCTTTTGAAGTAATATATGACACCGCCGTTTGCAATTAAATATACTAGAATAGCTGATGTCTTCGGCCGGCCACACACCGATCTCATCGTATCATATGTGTAATATATAAAAGACTATGTACACACTAACCGATAGAACTACATATTTATAATTACATATGTATCCATACGGTACACCTACGTAGTACGTACACATATAAGGGCAATAACAATTTTCAACTTGAGGGGGGAGGGGGCTGGAAAAATGTATGATACACAGACCCACGTGGGGCTCCTTCACCTCCAGGCTCCACATTCCCCTTCTGTATTATTTAAAACAATTGTAGATCAATAAAATTAACTTAGTTATTCATAATTTTTAAATTATATAATACTATTAAGGTCTGTTGATGAGGTTTAAATTTTTTTGAGGCGCTTATACCTGTGCAAGTATTTTTGATAAAGCCACTCAACCAAGAGACGTTAAACCAAAACCATTTGAACTGGTGTGCTATCAATAGTATAATAATGTTTCTAATGTCGCATTTGACCTAATCGCAAAAGTAAAAATAATTATTACCCCCCCACTATTACAAACCCATCAATGCCCAGACACCAAAGCGGCGTGTGTACGCTATACGGGTCAGATAAATTGGAAATTAAATTTTGTCCATTGTGTCTTACATGTCAATAATTGGTTTTTTGTGTTGTTTTTTTTTTGTTTTGTCCACAAGCGGGCTTGTGTTGTAATATACGGACAATCATTACACTTCGTGTATACAATGTCGGCGGTGGATGAACTCGGTTACAACAATTTCAATTTAAACCGCTTTGTCTTTACGCGGAGGTAAAACAATAAATCGGTATAAATGTTTAAAATGGGTTAGTTTAGACTTGAGACGAACACAGTCAACACAATAATAATTATTACATTATCCAAACCTAATAACCCCATCATAGGTGTATAATATACGTTCGGGTCCTTGCCCGAAGTATAGAAATAAACAACAATAAAAGTCCCAAGTTGGCATGCGTTAATTTTCTCACGGTTAACTCTGATGGTATATACATACATATATCGTGGTATATATTATACATTTACCGCTTAAGGATGTAATTACGAATTGCAGGAAAAAACTCACGCACAGACTTCTATGAAAACCCTTCGAGGCAGACGTGACTCCAACACGTTATTCTCACACACACACACACACAAATTGTATAAAAGTGTTGATGTGTGTGTGTGTGTGTATGTTGTTTGATTCTAAACGTAACGTTAATTTTGGGTACATGTAGACCTCTGGAATCCAGATAACCTAACCGTAGGTACACATTTACTATTAAATACTGTATACTTAACTGTACTCTAACCCTTGTATGTTTCTGTATGTATGTTAGCTTCACGGCGTAACTGTCGTTGTATAATTAAAATAAGAATAATTTATAATTAGAACCGCCCTATCAAAATCATTTTCAAAATGCCGTATTTCCTAAACGTTGTTTGAATCGAGTTTATTGGCCGAACCTAACGGGTTCTGAAATATTAAATCATTTTTTCATCGAAAAAATCAATTTAAAAACTACGATTCATGTTAACCTAACGACGAAGTTTAATAAAAATTAATAATCATAAACACAATTTAAATTTTAAAACCGGTATGGAGATTATTAAAATAGTTTTAGCAGTAGAATTGTCTTTAAATCAGTGGCGAACATATAAAAATTTGGCCTCGATGCGAAAAATCAAAAGGGCCCAATTCCTGTTTAGTTTAAACGTAGTAGAATAAAAGTAGGTACATGCCTTTAATAGTGTATTTTTAAAGAGTTTTTATTGTATTGAATATATATATATATACATATATTTTTTTTATCTCAAAATAACGACAGCTTGTAAAATAATATTACAACAAGGTGAACTATTATTTATTAGTGGGTCGTTATGAATACATTAACGACTTTTCACTTACTCGACCAAGATTCCTCACAGCAGTGGATCTTTATATGATCGATTGTGCTATCGTCTAAAAAGATTTATCGATGGTGCATTATTTCAGTTCTTAATGATTATTTTACTTTCCTTGTATAGAATGGTGTCGCTATAGTCAATAGTGTGTTATAGGGATATGGGTTGATGAGTACTTGCGATGAACAAGTAGCGTGTAATAAGGTCTGTCCAGACTCCAGAGTGAAATAATAATATATGAAGTGTTAAAGGGGGAAGGGGGGCCAAAGAAGTCATATCAACCAATTACAATACTTTGCTACCAAATTATGGGAACGTCTAACGACAGTTAATTAACATTCTATTTGAATGAGCCCCAGTGTTAGTATAAAATATTATGTAGTATGCAATAATCTTCTCGTTTAATTTTTGCAAAGATCATCTTTAGTAAAACATTAAAAACTAACATAAATAGTGATTGCGGCAGACCGACTTATGTCTAACTCGTTTACTAGTGCATTAAAACATTTTGAAACTCCGGTAATTAGCATATTACATGTGTTATTATTCATAATGATTATTATTTGTATTTTTTTACTTTGGTTAGTTTATAAAATAAATATTTTTTACCTATTTATGTATAAAATAAATATCGTATCTTCTCGAAGAAAAATAAAATAAAATAAAAAAATATTTTAAATCTGGATTACAAAATAAATTGTAGTTTCTTTATATACATTTAATATTTTTTAACCGACATAGTATTAATGGTTTGTACATTCAATAACCGAGTACATAATTATTGTTAAAGAATACCGTTAAAATGAAATATTTTTTTACAGATTTTGTAAACTTCAAGTAAAATAATAACAATTATTTTAATTATATTTTTATATGTATGTGAACGGTTCTTTAGCGAAATTGGATTCTCACGATACAGTTATAGACGACAGGCTTATGTCGGTCTGACCCGACATAATATGCCGAGGATCCGCCTATTAACAATAATAATTAAGTAATACTAGGTCACTGGTGTAATTAAGAAAATCATTTTGACGCGTAATTAAAAATAATAGCTCTTACAAAGTGCGCGAAGATAAATAATGGTTCAAACAAGTCATCTTAAGTATAAAAGGTTACATAATGTATAAAAAGTAGTAGTCGCGTTTACTGTATTGTATATACATCGTATGATGCCATGCCAAAATTAAAACAAATAGTCAGGTTTTTTATTTAAAGTGCTTTAAAATATGCCACTAAAACTATAAACAGTATAATTATATTAAGAATTTAGCTTTTAAAATATAATAAGTTACACGAATATAACGATAGAAAGAGAACTAGAATTAAAAGAAGTGAACCTAATTTATTGGGATTGTAAAGTTATCAGTAAAGCAACATTTTACATCGCCATATTTTATGCATGTGTAAACGAATAAGGACAAAACTGAATGATGTATTTCCGGTTAATTTCAGCTGATTCCGACAATTCTAACAATTTTCCAGGCCTATGTAATTTAGACGTCCGAGTGTTTTGAGGAATACAAAATAGAAAACGGAAATATACCGTAAACACGAGAGGTCATTTCACTTTGAGGAAAAAAACAATAACAATAATTATAGACATAAAATATGAGAACACGTGTACAGAGAATATAAATATGCATATAATATGATACAAATATATTTTGAGCTGAAAAATAAGTCTTACACAATATTAAAGCGATAACCACTTTTTTTGATTTTTTTATTCTTCCGCAGCCAGTACTAAAAAATTCAATCGATCTAGTGTAGATCACACACACTGAACATAAAACATATAATATTTATATGTATTATATATAATGTTGTTTTTACATAATATAGCAAGTACATAAAAATAAGTTAACTACGCGAGAAGCGCGTGTGTGCAGTAAAGAGATAATGTGCGGCATGTATGTGGGTACCGTTATGTCGGACTCTTCTTTACCTGCACCTAAACAGCAGCGACTCATTGATATTACCTTATAATAGCATTCAGCATTTAAACGTGACGGTAATGACGATACACACATGCGCCGTTGCATACAAATGACCCAACGGATGAATTTATCAAAACGGGAGCTTATGAATTTTCCACAAAGAGAATAATAAATGGGGAGAAAAAAGTGATTAATCGTGTGGTTTCGCTTAAACGCTCTTCCGCTAGGCGAACTAATAAATATTTTTATTATTATAATAATATATTGAGAAATTTTAAGTATAAGCGTGAGCTGATTATTTTGCCGGTTGGGTTATCTTGAAAGTCAAAACACAACAATGATGCTCTTCATATTTGTATTGGGTGGGAGGCTTAAAATGGGTTTGAGGGTTCAACTTAAGTGTGCAAATACTTAAGCGAATATACTTTCTTTGTTTATAGATATTTCAACGATAGGGTGCAAGTACAAGGGACGGAGTTATGAACAAGGGTCGACGGTGATCACGGACCAACCATGTTTGAAATGCACGTGCAATACTGGCAGTTTAGTGTGTCATTTACAAGTGTGCCCAGAATTGCCGGATCCGCCTCCTCAGGGTTGTCTGGTCGTGCATAAGAGGAACAAGTGTTGCGCACACCTCCAGTGTTTTTACGGTAATTGCTTTAGTATTTGTCTAACATTGCAGTTGGCTATATTAAAATGTGGAATTTCTTATTAACAATAATTACCAAGTACAATACTCATGTCTACTCGGGTTTTTGGGTCCAAGAGGACCAATGTAAAAGTTCAAGATAAGGCAAGCAATTTACACACTAACATTTTCTAAAAAATCACGTATTGGTACATTCAAAAAAAGTTTTGCTTATTAACAAGACATTAAACAAAAACGGACTCTTGTGGAAAAAAATGTAATACTCATTTAGTGGAAGTAGCTGTCCCGAATATCAAAGAATAAAAATAATATTTTGTAGGCGTAGCAGGTTATTGATACAAGATACAAAATCTCGAGACTTTTATAATGTATCTATAAATTTACTTTTTGATACAATTGTATGTTATAGAAATTACTTTTACCGCGGCCCTCTTAAGTAAAGTGTCGAACCGGTGACAGTGACCGCCAACGCACTGCCACTTTACCCACCTCAGGCACTTGTCCTACTAAATGTTTTGGATAATAACTTGAGACTTCTGGATATTTGTATTGTTAGATACTTAATGATAATACGCAAGTTAGCGTACGCTTAATTAGAGAAAAAAATGTTTAAAAGGCCACTTAAATGTTTATTAACTGTTAAAATATATATTCTACTGCCATCATTAAAGTCTCTGTAAATTGTTATTATTTTTCTTGCACTTGACAATTTATACTTATACTTACAGAAGTAGTTAAAAAATGATACATTTTTTTCTTATTTTATTTCTTACCGATGTACAATATTTGTTTCGTGGTACAACGCTTCAGGTCAGATTGTATGTACGTGAGCTATACATTTTTTTTTTCTTCAGAGTTGGGCCACCGTCGCCGCCACACATTACACACAGGTTATTCATATTATGTATTTTAAAGAACCAGTTGTCCGGCGAGCGCGAACGGTGCTCATCAATATTTTGTCCGTTTAAAAAACGCGTTTAACATGATCGTTGGGTGTACACCCAACTTGTTTGTAGCCGAATCGATTAATAATAATTCCCATTCATCGGTTTTGCGATGGAAATAAATAAAAAAACCGCACCGCGCTCGCGAGACTTGTGCCCGAGGTGCTAATATAGAGTTTGCTGTCAGATCAATCAACGAGCACTGTTCAATATAATAATTATAATCATTGTCGTCGAGATGGCTACCGCTAAATGGAGATCCAAGTCGACCAGTTAACAAGGATCGTTTTGGAGGAAGGAAAAACCGGTCGTTCCCGATGGGTGGTCACGCCTATGCCGATCAGAGTAGTTTGAAAGAAAAAAACAATTTTAAAATGATCAGACGCCTAAACTTGGGCGGCGACAGTGAGCACCAAACATTCTGACACTTTAACCGACCACCTAAAAAGGCGATATAATGGTCTATACTAATTTGTATAGTCTTGACACTCGGGTCTTCAGGTATTGTGTATCAACCGGGTACAAAATAGGGTAGTATTTAAATGAAACATGGCGTTGGATGGTCGTCATTCAGCTGCAAATGTTAAAAAAAAAAAAGAAAATAGCCTACAGTCTACTGCTTTAGCCTGCTGGCTCCTGAACAGTAAATTTAGTCAAGCTGGAAGTTAGTAAATTTAGGCCAATATTCCTAAATTTTTTTTAGTTTTTTATTTCATCCCGTGAGTTTCCCGGCCTGTCAGTACATTATTTATTCGTCATAGGAGAATATACGAATTCGCATACATTTTTTATTTTGTTTACTACTAGGTACAGGATAATTCTTGGCAAGGCGATTAGCATGTTTGTCAAATATTTATAGATATCACACACATCTAATTTCGTTGAATATTCGGCAAGTATATTTTTGTAGTTTTTCATTAGATTTTACTGGTAGTACCTAACTAGTAAGCTTAATTATATTGAACTTGTGTAAAATTATATATTTTCTGTATAATTATTAATTTACCGTGGAAACAGCTAGACTCAGAGGATGAAATAAAAATCTAAAAAAACTGTACATTTTTTTTCTCAATATTTGAAGTCGATTGATAGTTATCAAACGTGGAATTTCACAAAAAAAAAACATACAAGGACCACCACAGCGGGTATAAGAGTATTCGGGTACATCGTACTCGTTATAATTACAATTTTGCAATATATTAATATTATCAATTAACCAATTTTTATGAAATCTGTTTTACGAACATAATAATTGTTTAAATAAAATACATTTAGATTTTACAAACAGTAATATCGCTCTAAATTTACTGTCATCAAATTATATTAATTTCCCAATAACGTTTATGCATCTATTGTCAAATCAAATGTAATACGAATGTATTAGTTGGGCATTATTCGAATAGTTCAAGTTGACAATTTTTAAAAAAACTCCAAAGCTGACATTACATGCTATGATCGTCTGTTCTGTATTACTTTAGCTTTCAACGCATCTATATAAATTATATATTTAAATATAATACATTTTCGTGTAGCCAAAGAACTTAATGTTCAATAATTAATCATACTACTCGTCTTATGGGAAATATCGTCCATAGCGGACGGGCGACAGGTACGTGATTTCAAATACATTGTACTGGTGTATCTGCGTACGATATTCGAAGAAGTATACTTGACTCGACGACCGCCAAAAGCGACACACCCGGAAACACAAATGAAATCCCGTTAGTTATTCCATGTGGTCTTACGAAAACTGATGGGATAGGTTTTGTACATTTTTTCGACCGAGAATGTTTTCAGAAAAAAAATATAATACAGTTAGAGAGGTACGCACACCGTTTGTATTATGGTTGAACAAACATTAAAAAACATTTTCAGAAGTGTCGTTAATCGTCTGAGCTGATTGCACAGTGGTCATATTTTGGAAATTGTAATTGTAATGATGCCATTAGAGTTTGGCGCTGAAAATCCGCTTTAACGCATGTTTAACCGATCGAAGAACAATATCTTTTTAATTGCTCATCAGCCTAATTTTAACAAAAAAAAAAAAAAATACTTATTACTTAATAACAAAACGACGACGCTTATTTATCAAATAATACAAATAAACGTACAAAGTACAATGCGTATCATAGCGCAAAAAACTGGCCTAAAAAGACCAATCAAGCGATTTAACTATGTAAAAAGGCCTACAACCAAAAAAAAATTGAAAATTGTTTAAACATAATTTATTTTTTAAATAAACAATAAAAAACAACAAGCGAAATAAAAATATAATATTATCTATAATGCTATATAACTAAGCTATTATTTTCACAAACAAAAACACCAATCAATTTTAAATAAATACAAAATATAGCTCTAAAAATGAAATACAATACTTAGAAGGGACCACTCGCTTGGAGACTATCACACAATTGCATGTCGACCCTGATCATACGATAAAAAAATAAATCCGTTTGCATTCTATTTATTTAAACATTGGTCCTATATTTTAATAACCAACACAAGAGTTAGGCAATATTATGCAGACTCAGCCGGGGGTAATCGTTTCATATATATATATATATTTTTTTAATTAGTTAACATTTAAGTAGTAGTAGCAGTAGTAGTAGTAGCTAATAAATCGTGACAGCTCTGCAAATCATAAAATTTCAACGTTTTTACATTATTGTAGACCTGTTTGGAGGTGTTCACACGAAACTGTTTTCAATCGAATCTCGTAAAGGACCTGGAAGGATGGAAAACTCTGCAGTCGGGGTGTCTGACGGTGGTTTACCCAGAGGTATTTAAGAGGTCATTTTTTTTTTTCTTTCAATTTATATTCTTAAACATCCACTGACGAGTACAATGTTATTTTCTCCGTACATAAGGTTGCGCGATTAACGGTACAGTATACGCCGAAGGTTCGGCCATGGACAGCTCAAGTCTATGCGAATACTGTTACTGCATCAAGGGACAGCAACAATGCGTTCGACCCAAGTGCTTCATGGTCATTCCAGGCTGTACGGCCATCTACAGCAAACACACGTGTTGTCCAGTTAGATATAAATGTAAGTGGCGATGCCCAACGCAATATTCACAATTTTTACTCGGACAAAAATCGCTATACTTAAAACAACACTCGCCGTCTTATGTGCTGCGAGAAAGTTATACTCAATAATTATACTTGAAAACCATAGTTTTTAGTTTGAGGTCTTTTATACAAAGCCTATAACCCTTTCTTATTGTATGCAACTTTGTCAGCGATCATTAAACAGATTCGTAATTTGACTTGCAACCAAAAAAAAAGTAACCTTATATTATAAAAATATAAATTATCTGATAAATTGCTTAGCTACTATTAAGGTAGTCAATTATGGACTAGTCCTGAAATGAATTTGCTCATATCAACATTAACAACAAGAAAAATAAGAAGAAAGAAAATTAGAATTAAAATATTAATCAATTTTTTTTTTTTGTATGAAGTCTCATTTGTTTCCTTCTCATACTGCTTTGTTGCACTTTAATCTACTTAATGCATACTGGGACGGTCTAATTTTGGTGGTAAACTTCCATTACCTGTCTTCCGTAAAAATATGGCGCTGCTGCTTGTTAGATCAAACATTTTTAGAAAATCAGGGAAAAAATAGAACCCCCACAGTCAAATGACAAACAACAATAATACAATAATTATGATTTGACCGTATCCAATATAAACGATACAACAGCATAGAGAGTAACGTACTAATTCCAATTTATTTGTTTTACATTCCAGGTCCGCCTTCGATTAATAACAACACTCAGATGAACAACACAAGTCTAACGACAACGACCGATTCGCCGTCGTCGCTCTCTTCTAGAATGAAAGGTAGACACAATCGTCTTGTGTTCGGCATAATTAATTTTTAAGTACTGAAACAAACTTAAATAGGTAGTTCTTTTTACGTTGGCATCTTACGATGTCAAGTTACGTTATGGAATATTTTTTTGGAATTTAGCATCGCGTAATATTATAATATTTTGCACTGTAAATTGTAACATCAGATAAGAACAAAGACAATTGGGGGGGGGGGGGGGGAGCTGTTTCTCGAGATTCCCCCCGATGATGAAAGTGTACCCGTTCTAGGAGCTGTACTCATTACCAAGTTGTTGTATTATTGGATTTGGCGGTCGTTTTCAGATTGTCGCATCAACGGTCGGCTGATATCGCTGGGCGAACCCGTGATCGGCGTGGCCAGGTCGTCGTGCGAAACTTGTTTCTGCATCAACGGGCAAGTACGGTGTGACAAGGTGATATGTCCGGCAATCCGCACCCAAATTTCGCCCAATTGCGGACCGGTCTACACGGAAGGACACTGTTGCCCGACCAGCTACAACTGCGCCGGCAACAACAAAAACGGTATATTACGCCCTTCCCGGTTATACATATATATCTACTACTATATTATTATGATATTATCTACATAGCAGCCGCTCACAACGAGCAGGTGTATATATATATAAATATGTACACCTACTAATATTTACCTATACCGCCGCAGGGTCACTGACTCTTGCTGTTCCCGAGAATCCATCACCGTCCACGCGTTCGAAATATTATCTCGTTGTTAAAATAACAATTTCGCCTTCTACACAACACTTTGGCGCAACGCTGAATAATTATCAATTGTCCGGCCCGTTTTGCTTTCAGAATCGAACATCAACATCACAACGGTACTGACGTCGCCCGACACGACCGCGGTCCTCTTGAACGACACCTCGTCGACCACACCGACGACGCCTACGGCGACTTATTCGCCACCGACGTCTTCTCCTTCCACGGTAATTCATTTAGCTTACAAAATAACTGCACACTCGTGATTGATGCAGACGTTCAACCACATAATGGTCGTTCTACCCCTAATACTCGAAACACAAATTAAATACGATATTATTAGAGTCTCGGTTGTGTCATGTTACATACACCGACTACACTGTCTCTTTACCGTGCCGACTTTTTAATTCTCTAAATTATCATTGTCGATTGCTTTAACTTTGTACGAGTAATAATTTTAAACGATTATACTAGTTTAAATAAAAATAACCGAGATGATATTGTAGTTCGAGAATAATTAATGGTATTTTGCGCCGTGAAGCACGTAGTGTATGCAATTTAAATAACATAACCGTGTATTTACAGGAAATACCCGGCGTTGAGATTCAAACCGAGGCCGTTCTCGTCACTGAACCGGCGGCGGATAATGTAAGAGATCCGTTGGTTAACTTATCACCAATCGATCCGGCAGAGTCCAGACACGGTGTAAGCTCGATGACCGGAGACGACGGTTTGAACATTACCGAAAAGTCCAACGCGTTTGAATTCGATTACGACGAACCGACGTTGCCGCCGTCTTTACCTAATCTCAAGTAAATAATTTCATATTGATCTTGGAATAATATACTTTTTTTTAAAAAGTTACAAAAATAAATCGATAGAAAAAAATATGCATAAGTAGTGTGGGGAGAGATGATGAGAACAAACAAGAACCGGGTAGACGTTTTAATTAAGAGTGCGTCGCACCGGTGATTTTCAGTGGTAAAAACACGTTTAAGCAAACTGAAAATAACTCGCTTGATTTTGGTTTTAGAGTAAAAGCACCCATTATAAAATTAAAACAAAACAATATTCCGTAGGGCATAACGGTGCGTTTTTTTTTTGTTTTAAATTCATTTTTTGAAAAGTTACAGTCATTTAAAAATGTCCAAATAGTCGTTATTTCTAAACTATGTATTGAGCGTTATACTTGGAATAATGAAAAAAAACGCACCGTCTTGCCCTCCGGAATATTGTTCAATTTTAATTTTATAATGGGTGCTTTTACTCTAAAACCAAAATTAAGCGAGTTATTTTCAGTCTGCTTAAACATGTAGAGATAAAAAAACATTTTTAAATCGCTTTTAAGGATGCTGTGATAGTCCGAAAAATAAATTAACTACCAAAATAGAGTCCTAATTATTGAACTAATAATAACACATCACAGTTTAACCTTTAAATTAAGATTTTGTGAAAAATTGCCTATACTTTACTCCTTAAAAATAGGCGGTGCGACGACCTCTTAACAATTTTTATGGGGGACAGAGTATAACGACGGTATGACGGAAATTCATTTTTATATACATGTAAATTATAATTCGGCTTGTATTTTTTTTTTTTTTTTTGTTGTACAAAACTTGTTCCGGCAATAAGTACATCCAAACGGTAGTTTCTGGTTTTTGCTACATAAGTGCTTTTGTTTGAACAGGATTATACCTTTCGTCGCAGCAGATGCTGTAGTGGATGAGCCCCGGGAACCAACTGTACCCACAATACTGGACACTTATTTACCGGTGGAACGCATTTACAACGTTTCGGATGTCGACGAACCACCCGTTTTGGTGGCCAACAACTTTTCGCCGCCGATCGAAACAGAAGGTAGACTGTTAACGACAATTTTTAAAAAAAATACACATAAATTTAAAACAAACATCGAACAATTGTATGTTTATTTAGGCGGATTTGTCCCCAAAGAACCTCTGGACGATACCGGGTATGTACTCACCACCAAACTGCACACCACAACGGAACGAGTAACCGTTAAACCGACGGTAGTTCAAACTGAAGAACCAATCATGGCGGTTCCACTGGGATCAGGTAAAGTGTTAACTATTGGCTGGCTACCTTCGCACCGAGATTATAAATAAAGTACAATATGGATTACAACAGAATCGAACACAAATATCAGAATTCCTAACCAGAACGGTTTTGTACTTGTGCAAAGTCTTACTTGAGTGTACTTTGTACAACCGATGTCGGGTGTGTAAGTCATCTGACGGTTAAGCGTTCTAATTGAAAATATAATACATTTTAAAGCGATATTTATTTTAATTTTCCGACTTGTGTTGTGCAATTTGTGTTTGTTTTTTAGTCGCGGCGCCAACTGACAATTGAGTTCGCCTAAATTTATACCGTCCCAAACATCGATCCACGCAAATCTATTATAATACTATGTCCTATAGCTTACACAATGGTAGTTTGCCAAAAAAAAAAAAAAATGAACGCATGCGTCAACGCTTTAGATTTCAAGCCATTCGTCATACGCGGTTCTAGTCGGTTTATTTGACATTAATGTGGCGCTATTTTTAGTCTATCACACGGTTATCCATAACGGACATCAGCGCTACAAATACCAATACAGGGTGGTTTTTTTTGGGGGGGGGGGATTTAGCAGATGTTCTAGTGCGCGCCATGTTAAGCCGAAGAATCGATTCGCGGTAAATGGCGTAAATGGCGATACAAAACGACTATAATTCTTGAAGTCACCCGTGTACTCGTTTCCTTGATTTTCTAATCAAAACGATATTCGTCTTTCAGGTTGGTGTGTGTCAAACGGTAAAAAGTACAAACACGGCGAGCTTCTCACCGACCCGAGCGCATGCAATATATGCGTTTGCTTCGAAAGCAAAATCGTTTGCCAGGAAAATTGCCCCGCCGTTAAGGTCGGTTGTCAGCGTGTCAGCGACCCGGAAAACAGCACGTGTTGTGGCCGTATCGTTTGCAGTAAGTAGCCTGCGACTAATAATATGATATTATGGTCGATTGAATATACTAGCCATAACCGATCGATAGCCGTTTGGTTTTTTGTCCACGCGATAGGATCGTTTAACGTTTGAAATGATTGTTTGACTTTCACAGACGAACCCGAAAACAATTTTGTCACAGAACGCCGCCAAGAACCCGCGGTACAACTGACGGAAGCCACGCCCGTACACAGTTCGTCCACAATGATCAGAAACCCCATAATCGAACACATCGTCCATAATTCTGGACCGACGGTCAAATCGCCTGTTAGAAATACTCTGTCGACAACGGTCAAGTCGGCGGCGGTGACTTCCCCGAAGACCACATCAGCTAGTCCCGTCGTCGCGTCTACGTTGAAAACTATCACGACCCCGTCACATTCCACCACCGTCCAACCGACAGTGCCTTCGGTGCCGACGACGGAAAAGCCTTTGGAGGACGAAGATTACAGTTTCGAAAGCATGTTTTCGTTTCTGTTCAGCGGCGAAGCACCGGAACCGCCTTCGACGAGCACGGCTAGACCAATAGCGCCGCCGTTGACCACCACCACCACCGCCGCCGCTACCGCCACTGCGAAAGCCGACGTTTTTCTGCAGCAACGGACGGACGAAGACGTCGGAGAAACGGTGCAATTTGTCGACGTCAAACCAGCAGCAGACGGTCTAAAAAACAAATCCTACGCGGACGTGCCCAAACATCACGCACCCACCGCCGTGGAACCGCCTCGTCGAAACTCGGACAAACCCGCTAACGACAGCACGGTCCATAAAGATGTCGGGGAAACGTACAAAGTGGATACGCGACTGGAACCCGTGCACGGCCCTCCGGCAAAGCCGAGTTCGGCCCGAGTCAGGCCTCACGCCGACCTAAAGGAAAACGCGTCATTCGCCGAGGTCGGAAAACGACCGGAAACTAAACCACACGCCGCCGATCCGAAGCGTCAGTCTGACGTCCAACCGCCATCGGAAATCGAACAACATGCCGAATTTGAGCATCGGCCGGAAATCAAGGTACAGACAGACGCGGTGCGTCGGCCAGAAGCTCAACTACATCACGTGCACACCGATTTCAAGCACCAACCTGATACCAAGCCGTACTTTGATTCAACGTATCCGATCAAACCGTCGTCTGAACCCAAACACGCCGGTGTTACACCACACGCCGAGCTGAAAACACACCCTTCCGATTTCAGACCGCTTAGACCTCTGGCCGAAATAAAACCACACTCGGATGCCAAACCGCATTTGGACTCGAAGAAAACACCTGACGTCGTCAACCCTCTGTCCGATTTCAAATCGACGCCGCACGCCCAAATTAAATCCAACCCTTCCACTACGGCAAAACCGGTAAAGGCCAAACCTAACACCGAACTGAACACGCTGGCGTCTATGCTGCGGATATCCGGTTGCAATATTTACGGTCGAATGTACAGAGTGGGCAAAATAATCACCGAACTTTCGACGCCCTGTTTGCAGTGTATGTGCACGGATACGGGCGTGCAGTGTAACCAACTGAAATGCTAACATAACGTTTCGCCGCATGTGAACTTGTTTTGATTGTTGACTATATTATATAATGCTAATTGTTTGCCGAGTGTACCAATGTTGTCACCCCAAGTCTGCCGGGAACTCCTCTAACGACAAGCTATAGATTACAGATTTATCGAATTTGCGATCGAGATATATATGTAGCGTTATTGAGATTTAGGTCTTCTAATTTTTTATTTCAATACATTTATACATATTTGTATATTTGTTGAAATTTGCTTAAAATATTAACGGTTTTGGTAAATAGCGTAAGATCGATAGCCAGCATATATTATACTGTGATCTCTTGTCCTATAACGATATCTTATTTTTTATTAATACACTATGATTAAGTTTTATGTTTTATTATTTGATACTTGATATATATATACGAGTATTATGCGCCGACGAAGGTGCATTATAGAATGGCTAGAAAGAATAACCTCTCTTTTAGGATTGTGTTACTGTTGTGTTATTATTTTCGGCTGTCGCTGTTTGATATAGGATATCCTAAATTATGAAACCCGTCGGTATTGACAAAGTTTAGATGATGTTGACCGCCTTAAAAGAGAGCCGGCTGTTAATAATCGGATTAAAATCAAAATTATATTTTATTATTTTTAGTTTTTATTTTTAAAAGTTTTGAATCTGTTTTGCTAAAAAGTCGAGTATTGCTTAATTCAAATAGGTTTAGCATATTGTATAGGATAATAATTTTTGAATAATTTATACTTAAAATTGTAACATTATTTTTTTTGTAACATAATATATTATAGCTGTTAGCTTAAGAAATTGATATTGTATGGGACCATTGTGGTTTATTTTATCTCTAGTTTTATATTGACATTACAACAATACTCAACTGTATAGATTGTATAAACGAAAAGTTTTTAGTTGTTGGTTTGTAATTTCCCTCGATTTCGTAAGTCTATACTCTATAGTCTATACACTTCCTGATTTTACTCCTAATCTATCTAATTCGTCTAGTTTCATCGAAACAATATTCCTTTTCTTGTGAACATTGAATTGCATGCCCTCCGCATTATATGTATTATGTTAATTTAATCCATATAAACCATATAATATGTTTTATAGACAATAGTAAAATGTATTACTCAATACAATCTAAATGGGGTTTCTGATGTAATATAATTAAAGGTACAATATTTCATATTAACGTACATAATCAGGCTTCTAATAACTCAATAGCAATTCATAGAAATGGAAATACTTACATCCGCAAAAAAATAACCTTGATAGTTAAGTGTGCAAACTCACTATGGTTTTAATACATCATGTATCTTAATTTTATGCAACACACTTTATTGTTTGTATTTAAGATTTCTACTTAGGATTGGATGCTGTTTTTTTTTTAATTAGAATATTCAGATTAGAATATTAGAATATTCATAATTAGAATATTTGGTCTTGTAGGAATTACGAGACCAAAAATAACAAATGTAATAATATAGTTTTACGATAAATACAAATTATGAATAAAATATGATGATATAATAAAAAATCTTTGATCACACGAATCCTTTAATTTATCTTTAAATCGATTGGATCTTTCATCATTACTCAAGCGACAATGTATTTGGCGATTATATTGTTCATAATGTGCGCTATCTTATAAGTTTAACTAAGTACGGAGGTGCAATGAAAATTACAAAATCGCCGTGATAATTTAATATAACGCGGGTAGGCAACACAATATACCTTGATGTGTGTTTTTATTTATCATTTGGATTCCTTTTTTAAGGCTGCAAAGTAACAGTTAGTAACAATATAATAATATTATCATCGCCATAACGACAAAATAAACTCTTCAAACGTTTAGCGTTATATAATATTATCATCGTTATTGCAGATTTCTTCTTGTTGTAATTTAATAGTTAGACAAAAACCAAACATGCTTTGTATTAAACGTTGGGTAATTTGTTTCATTTTGTTGACCGTTTCTTCAATGGGCTGTGCGACAAAAACGACCAATAACGGATTAGACGAGAGGTATGGAAATACTTGACGTTGGCATTTTACCGAACGGGCCAACTTGGAAAACTCGTAGGTAGAATGATTGTTAGCATCTGGAGGAGGATGCTTCGGACGACTGAACCCCTTAGCGCATTAAAACGGGCAACTTGACCCCTTTGGCCGCCTCTTAATTGCTAACAACCGCGGTCGGTCGTTTGTGTTTCAGGCAAGGAAAAATTCAAAATTTTCATTTCAAACATGTGGCGGTCACAAACCGGTGGCACGACAAATTTCAAACGGCCGCCGACAAAGGGCCGGAGAACGAGAAGAAAACGCACAGAAATTTGTTTTCCTAATGCCGGTTGCTTTGAATAAACACTATACACCTACTATGATGACAAAAAAAAAAAAAACAATTTTGGGGCGCGCGTGGAAAATCGTGACTGTGCCGGGTATTCGTTGTCTTTCCACTAATTGTCGATAAGTCACGATCCTGGTGTAGGTAGGTTCTCATAGCCCCGTCGTCTCATCATCCGACTGCCATGATATTATATTATATTGTTGTTACACGCGCGTTCTTTTATCAACCCGTCCCCGGTGTATTGTGACGCGAAAAATAATAACGACACAAATAAATAAATATATTACTATGCGTTATAATAAACTATATACCTACCTAAAAAAAAAAAAAAAATTACCGGGATAAAGCCGACTAGTCAAACAGCGTTCGATTCACAAACCGATGCTGCTGCTGCTGCTGATGCTACAAAAGTCGACCGTAACAACGTTGTTGTTGTATATAAATTATTATTAACTTGTAAGCGATATTATTATGCGCACGGCCAATACCTAATCACAATGTATTATATTTTGTTATCGTGTACGCGACGCTTCATCATCAGCTGTCGGATGCCAATCTTCGGTAGGTACACATATATTATTATTATTATTATTATATTATATACCTAGGCGAAACGTCCGTGGAAACAGCAATTTGTTTATATAACGCTAACAAAAGGCGATTTCGGTGCGGAGTAACAAGATCGAAAACGGCAACAGCACAACGTACAAATGACATGCATTGTTGTTGTTGTTGTTGTTGTCACTATATAATAATGTAATAAAATTGATAACGCGAAGGAAGACGACGCCTACGGTTTGACGAGCCTATCGCTTCTGGTCCTGTTGATCGCTGTTCTTATATTATCATCATCATCATCATCATAGTACGTTATAATCAGGCGCCGTTCGTCCGTTCCTACAATGAAAGTACTAATAAATAATTATTATACTTGAGAACAAATGCATAATTATTATGCTCCTGGTGCCGTCGTAGCCTTCGGCTTAAAAATGCCCAGAACTTTGCCTTCCAATACACACTGTGCGAGGTGTTTAAAAAAGAATACGCATAAAAGAGAATTGAAATCAGATGGGGTTTAAAGGGTTTTCATATGGGCAATATTTAAGAAAAAATGGGTTTTAATCAATTTCGCTCGTGTTGATTTATTTACAGATTAACTTGGGAACGCTTCGAGGTATTATTTTTATCTTATACAATTTTTTCAGTACTTCAAATCTATCCTAAATAGTCGGAATTTTGTCAGTTTTTTTGGTCTAAAACTTCTAGAAAACAGATTGCTTTCAATCCCCTAAATTATTTAAATTATTACCATCATGTAGAGTTGAATATATTTTGTACATTATCCACATTGCAATCCCCTTAAGTGGGATAGTTAGAATTAAAGTACGACAGCTAAAGGTTTTGAGATGGGATGTAAAAAATACAATATCAGTATGAAACATTTCTTACTCAACAACATATATTTTTTATACCGATAACTGACGAGTCATTCTTACCTTCTGTTTGAATGGTTTCACACAAAAAACTTAATATAAAAATGAAAATAATTTTATATAACAGTTTAGTTATACCTAATTTCAATATATTTTCCATTTGTAGTAATAAAGAAAATTAATAACTAATAGGATGGGGCTCAACTTATTTAATTATTATTTTTTTTAACAAATTCATTGCAAATGAATTAAAAATATTTATAATCGTAGAGCCATGAAACCCACACGTTAAAGCCTAGTCGCAAATCCGGCTCTGTGTATAACGAAATGTTTGGCGCCATGTGGTATTAAAAATCATATTTTAATTGACTTTACAAATCTTAGAATAGAAATTATTCTAAATAATATGTAGGTAAGTTAGTATGAGTTGATTTTCTTTTTTGGCTATTCAACGACGGGGCTAATCAGTCAGTACTTATTAACTGTACCTACTTTTATTCTACGATGATAATATAATATAAACAAAATATGATTGTTAGCCAGGATCATCCGCTGTGTAGTCAGGCCAAAATAAGAAAATCTTTTATATTATTATTACTATGAATAAGTATCGTTGTGTTGGTACAATAGCCTCAATAGGAGTGGTCCTTTGACTATAATATATATATATACTAAAACAACAATAACGAATAAAAAATTAAAAAAAATAGATTATCATTAACATAATCGGGCATTTCTTTTATCGCAGAGTGCATTGATCCATAGACTATTGGGTAGGAGGACAACCCGAGATCAGTATTCAAATAACGTATTAATTATACTCAGATTACCTAAAGGGCTACAGTTCCCCCTCTTGTGTTATCACACTCTAATTAAACCCTATAGGCTGGACGTGTCTGGAGCTGTATCGCTTTATTCTCGGAGTCATGGTCTGATGGATCAAACAGAGGAGCGATGGTGCTCATCGTCAACTGATTGATATACAAACCCATGTGCTGTAGTTTACAATGCGCGTTTTTCATTATGCCGCCACAATACAAATATAATTAACTATGAATCAACAAGTTCCATGGGTGCGTATGTAGGTACATAATATTATTATATCTTTTGTCCGCCATATCATGCGCGCAAACATTACCTTGAACAAGCCGACCGACCTTCTCTGCGGTTGCCCACACGACGAGGGATTTCGGGTTAGTGTCAACGGCAATCCATTTACGAACAACATTTTCAAAGTACGTTAATTAAAAAGGATAACGATACATTTGTCTGTTTGGTAATAAAAAAAAAAACGATATTGCCAAAAACCTAGTCTCTTTTTCAACATCGCAGGGAAGCAATTTAAATCTCTGGGTAGGCTATACAAATTGAAATATATGATATAATATGTCTCATAAAATCCGTATGTGTGGTGTGGTGAAGTGGTATGGTTCAGGTATATCTATATACAGTACGTATACTATATGATTTGCATGTCTTTGCTTTGGAAACCACCAAAGAAACAAAGTAATTTAGTAATTCGTTTTTAATAAATAATAATGCATAACATTTTTTAAAATACTAATAATTATTTTGTTAAAATATATTATATTTTTTATATTTATCAACATATACATATCATTATGTGTTATTTTTCATCAACGTTGACAAACGTCTATCGACTGAGTTATTCGGATTGGTTGTATTTACACATTTTATGGGTAAAACTCAGTTATTTGTATGATGATCATTTAAGTAATCCAAAATTTCTAAATTACCGTTACCATCACACGTTTACATAATATAGGTACACTGTACAGTCTTTAATGCGAATTAACTATGATTTCCATCTTGTCATTTTGTACAGCAGTCGACCCTTCATTGCCCAGTAACAAGCGTTTTCTCTCCTTTGAAATTCCAAGACCAATTTTCTCCATTTTTTTTTTTTTGTTTCAAACATAAAAAAAAAAAAAAATAGTGATGTGGAAGAGTCAACACTATATTGATTGTTATCATTTTTCCAACATTTCCTCTGTTGCACGTCAACGAATCAATCGTGTGGCTGGCTCGTCGATTGTGTCGTTCCAGCATGTTTGCGGTCACACGTTATAGTTTACTCGCATGTATACGGTCTGCACAATAATGTTTTCGAAGAATTTTCAAACCGTGAACACGGACAATGCATACGATTATATCGTGATTTCCTATTGAAGTTTGTACATACAAATATTAGCAGCACTGCAAACATCCGACGTGTGGACTCACGATATTATTATGTAGTCTAGACCCGTTAACCAATCTGTTGGTCGTCTTTTTCACATCGGAACACAACTTCCCAAGTGTCACATTATTACACTGTATATCTGGACTAGATGCTATATTATATACAGTATGCTACCTACATGTTATTATGTTGCCTCAGTACACTCGGGTGTGGCGAGACAAAATTCTCCAACAATCTTTTCATCTTTTTGTGTGTGTTCATTTTGATGTTTTGGCGTTGTCTTCGCGTCATCCGTGATGATGACCGTGTATATAATAGTAATAATAATAATGTATCTATAGATGACATCGTGTCGGGCTTGTCGATCGATTCGTCACGCGGTGTTTAAACAGTG